TACATAAATGACATCCCTGAAGTCTCAAGTGCTACCATCGTCTTCTACGCGGACGATACAGCTATACCCAGTAACTCTTTCAACCCTCACCTGGTTGTAGATAAATTACAAAATGCGCAGTAGACGTAATAGCTCTATGGTTTCGAGAATGGAAAATTTAAATAAAACACTTCTACATTTTCAATCACCATCTTCGGTAAACAGATACTCAGAGGGAACATTGACGATATGAAACTCAGTAACAGCATTATTAACAAGAAGCCTTACATCAAATACCTAGGCGCATATCTCGATAAACGACTTAACTTCAGGCATCATATCACTACTGTTCGAGATAAAACTCAAAAAGCTTTTAAGTTGATTTACTCTCTATTAGGCAGAAAGTCAAAATTAAATCCTTAAACTAAAAGAATTCTTTACTTTCAAACCATGAGGCCCATTTTACTGTATGCAGCACCAGCCAGGGCAGCAGCAGCTAGAACAAATACATTTAAACTGCAGCACATTTCACGCAATGTAGTGCGTGTTTGCAGTTAGCCTGAGCGTGAAAGAACTTTTGGCAGCGAAAGCACTGCGTTGGGCCTCGTCTGCTTCTGTATCTTTCAGCTGTGATCCTAAGGTGCATCAAGTATTCCTTGTTAAAGATCTGACGAGATTTCTCTGTTCTCTGAAGTAAAACCAGAAAGAGCGGCATTTTCATGATTTCAGGTCCTCTTCGTCTAGTGAGTTGAATGACTTTATTAACTTGCTAACCAAGGGAAATCAGTTCATGCTGTATCTCCACAGTATTAGTGTAACTGGAAAGACTCCTAATCAGAGTTTTAATGTTTTTGTCACACGCAAGCTGGTAAGTATGATACTTGACATTTTACTGTCAAGTAAAGCTGTTACTTGACTGCGAACAGCAATGGTGAACACTTTGATGTAAAACTGATTGTCGGATTTCATTTGAGCTTTGTAATCCAAAAGTGTAGCATCCTCTAAAATTTTAGTGATTTGACTCCATGTCAAGTCCGAATCTTTTATCATAGTTGTTGGAAGTATTATCCTAAATTTAACTCACTCGAATCATTTCATTAGAAACAAGTACCTAGCCTTATGGCTGTTCGCTTGTATTAATTTAGGTTGAGCCATTGTAGTGATGAAGTAGTGCGCAGAGCGCCGATAAAATAGGCGATAAACATTAGAGTCTGGCATCCCAGGATATTTGGTGGTCGATGAAGGGTCGATCGATGATAGCAAATGTTGATGAGTAGGTAATTAAATGGCAGTTCCAGATTATGAAAAATATTGAGAATTTGCGAAATAGGAAGTTAGTTGCAAATTAGTAGATAAGTATTAATGAATCAATAAAGTTCTGTCAATTTGAAGCATTTGAGGAGGTGAGGTTTTAGCGCAAAAGTCATAGCAGCGTTTGTTTACATTCTGCACCGAGTGAGTTTTTTCTTAATCAGGAAAGCAAATTTGTTCTTAGTGACTTGAATTTGGGAAAAAAAAAGCCATCAGAGCCATTCCGAATACAATAGGTCCCACACATGCTCAGAATACTCTTATACATTAGGAGGAAGAAATTTGCGACCACATGGCTACTTACTTTTCCACTGGTTTTACTGAAAATGCACTCTTTGATCAAGAAACACAGAGGAGGAAGTCGACAAATACATTGATAAACTGAATGATGAAATCATCACATACATTATTGGCCTTACTAATCATGAAGAAATCACTTCCATCATCAAAAACCTAAATGTTAAGAAAGCTCCTGGATTTGACCTCATTACCAACAAGGCTATTAAACTGCTACCACATCACTATATCCGTGCACTTATCAAAATCTTCAATAACTGCATTACTATTAATTATTGCCCCAGCTCTTGGAAGCTTGCAATTATTATCCTTTTCAAAAAAACCTGGCAAAGATCACAGTCTTAGTGAAAATTACCGACACATCAGTTTACTTTCCTCACTTGGAAAGATTTTTGAAAAAGTTATCTACAATAGACTGATCTCCTTCTTAAATACCAATAACATCCTCTCTGACACACAATTTGGCTTCCGCCAAGGCCACTCCACTGTGCACCAAATCACCAATATTGTCGACAACCTGCTAAACGCTTTTAACAAAAAAGAAACTGCTGCTGCTGCATAATTTACTGATGTTCAAAAAGCATTTGATAAAGTTTGGCATAACGCTATCCTCTACAAACTCCACTACTATAGATGCCCTCTTCCTTTAATTAAAATTCTTCAAAGCTACATTACCAACAGATGCTTCAAGATCAAAATTAACAACACTCTCTCCTCCACCAAACCAATCGTCAGTGTAATTCCACAAGGGTCAGTTTTAGGCCCCTCTGCATTTAATATTTATATAAATGACATGCCTACACCACTGGGAGCTAACATCTTGAAGTATGCTGATGATACTGTAATCTTCACCAATTCTATTAACCCTGCACATGCACCTGGCTTCATATCGCACTTAATATCCTCATCAAATGGCTTGAAAACTGGAAAATTAAAGAAAATCCTGAAAAATGTCATACCATCATCTTTAGAAGGCATAAAACTAACATCAAAATTAATCAGCAGTTCAAAATCAACAACACCCTTATTCCAATGGTAAATGAAGTCAAATACCTGGGTGTTATCCTCGACTGCAAGTTTAAATTTAATGCACATATCAATTATGTCTCAAAAAAGGCGAACGCTGCATTCATGAGTATTTTTCCTTTAATTAAAAAGAGCCCTACCCTCTCAGTCGAAAATAAAAGAAAGCTCTACCTTACTATGATTAGATTCATCTTAACCTATGCTAGTCCTGCCTGGAGTATTATCAACAGAAATCAAAGAAATAAATTTCAAATCATATAGAATAAAATTCTCCGACATGTGCTTTCAGCCTCCATCTGTCTTAAAAATGATCAAATTCACAATTATTTAAAAATAGACACCATTGATTCTTACATCTTGTCGACAACCCATAAGTTCTTCGCCAGTGTTGAAAACTCATCCCACCAAACACCAAAGCTCTCTCTAATTATGATCCTTTCCTCATACAAGACTGTATTAGGCCGAAAAATATACACTCATGTCCATAAATTAAGGATAATTCGGAGTCACGCAGAAATCGAACTCTAAAATAAATATATCACCTGTAAAATCACTACATACATCTTCAAGAATCATATGCAAATTTCAGGAAGTAACCAGATGACACCGATGGTACGTCACAATGACGAGAGTGTAAGAGAGTGATATATAAGGAATACAGGCAAAGAAGTAAAATTGTTCGCAGGCGCTTTATAAGCATTTCAGTGCAATATAACGAATAGTATGACACAAAGGACGCTGGATGATTTACGTGGTAGAATTATCGGAGCCTGGAATGCGGGAGTACCCAAATGGAAGTATCAGACGAACTTGGAATTGCCCGAGTGTCATCTCCAGGCTTGGCAATGATTCCAAGATGATGGTAATGCGAGTAGACGTTACATCACAGGTCGCCCCAGAACTACAATGCCGATGAGGACCGCGTATTTGGCAGTTTACTGCCAAAGAAAACAGGCGGAGCACGCCTCAGACTGTCTCGTCAGCCTCTTTGCCACTGGTACGACAATTTCAAGACAGACGTGTACATACGCTTAGGCCAGATTGGTCTATATGCTCGTAGACCTATCAGATGCGTTCCACTTCTGCAACTCACTGCGCTGCGGTTAGCCTGGATAGAAGCATGCTTGTGGACACCGGAAACAGGGGCTTGTGTGATGGTTTCGACGAGTCCAGGTTAGCTTGGCTGATTCTCGCCGGACTTTCATATGGAGAGCGCCAGGTACCGTTAGAACCTAGACCAAGGAAACATCATGAACGACACCGTTACGGTGGGTAGGAGTGCTCGTTTGGGGTGGAATTATTCTGGCTTCCCGAACTGACCTCATGTTCAAATTGGAACCATGACAAGCCAATCTATCCGGACGTCATTCTGGAACAACATGTACGTTTGTTTCAGGGCGCCATGGGCGCACAATGTGTGTTTATGGATGACAACGCCCGTCCTCACCGAGCAAACTTCGTAAGCGAATGCCTTCAATCGGAGGATATCACCCGTATGGACTGTCCAGCATTCTCACCGGACTTAAATCCAGTAGAGCACGTGTGGGACATGCTTGGCCGACGAGTTGCAGCCCGTCAACCTCCTCCTGCATGTCTACCGGAACATCGGAGAGCATTGCTTTTTGAGTGGTGTAATAGTCCTCAAGATCAGATCGATAATTTGATACTCAGCATGCCTGGGCGTTGTACGGACTGTATTGCGCCGTCTGGGAGACATACAATGTATTAACAATCATACCAACCATGTAATATTGGTTTTTTGTAAATAGGGTTTTTTTTGGTAATTTGCTCCAGGGAGAAAAAATCGCTAATGTTTTTAATAATATCAAACATACAACATCTTTTTTTGCTCTTTACCTTTTGTTTAATAAATAAGCTTTACAAATAAGTCAAATTGGTTTTGCTTCTAACTCTTCCTTTGCCTGATTTTGCATTATCCTTAATTTATGGACATGAGTGTATTTCATATCCCAAATTGTTGAAGAATATGGGTACTATTAACATTTTCGAGAAAATGGTTACCAGTGATGTTATGAATTTTAAATGTATTGAATGAAGTTTTTATGATCAAATTTTGTTTAATTCTTTCAATAATTTGAATAATACAGTCTTTCTCTAAATCTAAACAATATTTAGATTTTCTAAGAAAATTTTACTCATTTATTTACTTTCTGGATAAGGTTATCCTTCTACTGCAGATATGCCCGAACTTCGTCCACAAATACCTTTACTCCGCACCTAAGCTTGATTTTTCGCCCATGTGGCAGAAAGAATTAGCGGGTGCAAAACAAGACATCTGTCTACTTTGTCTGTCTGTCTGTCAGTCGTAAATTTTATTTGTAAATGTACATCTTATCTTTTCGGGTCATGAACTCCGTTGGTAAACAAACTCTATTTAACTTGATACGACTTTGGGTTGTGAAAAGGGCATTTTTGCAGATATTTTTCTGTTAAATCTGGGAGAGAATTTACATACATATCATTTGAAATCTGATTTCTCAAGGGAAGACTGCATTTTTAAGTGCCTCAGTAGAGTGTTTCATATTTTAATTAGTGTAAAAAGTTAGTAGTAATTCCTGTACTGTATTTTGTGGTAACTAATATTTATGCACATTATCTATACTGAATTAATGTAACGAAAAAGATGTAAAAAATTAATAATTTAATTAAAAAAAACCGTTAAAAATTTCACAATTTTGCCGAAATAATTATTTAGATTCTTTGATTTTCATTCAGCAATGTAGTTTTTCACAATTTTTTTCCACTGGTTTACTGTGTTAGTAAACGGGCGTATTTTAAAACCTGCCGCAGTTTGTTATTGTAAATGCAAGATTAATTTCTTCTTTTAAAAATTGTTTTAATGCGATAAAGGATTCAGTCATTTACTTCATTAAGTAAACTTATGAAAATAAAGATATTTCTTAGCTATTAACGTAATTTTTACTGTCCTTTTGCCTGTTACTTACTGGTAAAACATTGTTAATTTATATTCATATGCTAGGTTTGAGAAAATTTAATGCAACTTTTATAAAAATATATGATACAAAATAACTGATGCTATTTGCATTCTTGTTAGCTGACAACTGTTTTGCAGAAAATTCAGTGTATCATTTAATATTTTTTATTGTTCATTCCAATTTAAATGTGTTAATGATTGTGTTTTTTGTACATTTCAATAACGTTATTTTGTTAAAATTGATTATTTCTTTCTATTTTATCATGAACAGCAATAGTATTAGATGATATAATATTTTGGTACTAAGTGGTACAGCTATTGATGCATAAAAATAAATATTATAACTATCACAGTATCTTTCATGAATAATAAATTTTCTGTCAAAATAGCCGGTGTCTAAAAGGCAATGAAAATATTCATTACAATCAGAGAATAGTCCAAAGATAAACTTAGTTACTGTGTTTCATCCTTTTGATAGAAGTCTGTTGTTTTCTTCTTGCATTTCCTTGCTGCTCATCACTTTTTTTTTTTTTTTTGGCTTAGTTTTTAAATTTATTGATCAGCTGTTTTTTTCTATTTAATGTGCACCTTTATGATACCTCAAATACAGAATTCATTATTTTTTATGGAATGAGGTACTTATTGGTTAGGAATTGCTATCCTTTAACTGATGAGAACTATTATTTCTTTTAGAATAATAGTTCTCATCATCATCTCAATAATAGCTTTTTATTAAATAAGAGCTAAGCTACAAGTCATTGCATTGGATAGCAGAAAGTCTAGTGTCAGCCTAATTTAGTGCTGGTAATGTATACACATGATGCCATAACATCTGTACTTTCATATAATGTAACCCTGATTGATTCTCAACAAGCCACCTTTTATTTTTATGAACAGCCATATAATTTAACTGTTATTGCTGTATTTTTTCCCTTGTATTCTGGAAAAAGAAAGAAAAAAAGTATCAAAATTTAAGATTTGCTTGTAAAACATGGACTTACCATAAAAGAATTTACGTATTAATGAACTTGGTAAAAGTATATTTATGGGTACCCCTTGGTGAATTTTGTTAATTTTTGGCAGTACATGGATACTAAGGTTGTGAAATTCTTTCACTTGTTATTTTGGCTTGTGTAGTGGAAATTTTTGCAGCAAAACTCTCCACTACGCAAAGCCAAAATAACGACAAAAATTGCTCAAACTCGGTATATATGTACACATCAACCTATTTTCACTTTAAAAAAATCCCAGAATTGCACAAACTTGGCATTGTGCACTCCCTTGACTTTATCCATGTACACATTGAGCTATTTTCATTTAAAAAAAATCCCAGATTTGCACAAACTTGGCATTGTGCACTGCCTTCCCTTTGTCTATGTACACATCGATATATTTTCTCTTAAAATTTAAAGGAGCACCCAATTCTACAGTAGAGGCAAACAAATACATAAACTACATTTTAAACCAAACAATGAAATAACATAAAAAAGGAAAAACCTCTTCAAATACCCACTTACTTTATTTAGAAATTACTTCATCTTCAGTCTGTGGCACACAAAATTCTTTAACAGCATCCAAAAACTTCCTAAAATTATCTGAACTCGAATCCATATATCGGTGTCGCCACATAAATTCACAAAAATAAGAGTAAAAAATATTCTCCATGGTTCCCGACTGTCGATGACACTTTTTGCGAAAATCTCTTTTAACCACACTCCACATACCTTCAGTATTATTAATATGAGCTCCCTTTCCTGGATCTTTAAACATCAGTGCATGATTTATGGAAAGGTGAAAGAACCCATTATCAGAAAAACAATTATAGGTCTTCCAACAGTCAGATATAATAGTCTTACCCGGTAAAATATTTCATTTGATTACATCCAACGAAGTTTTTTTCCTTCTGTCCTCAACCACTTAAAAAAAAAAAAAAAAACCACATCTTCCCGTCCTTCCTTCTTATTTCACCAAACACCCACTTTTCCCCACTCGTACACTATACTTCCTAACCAGCACACACCACAAGCAGGGCTTAATTTCTAAGATTAGAAGTGCCAGAGCCCTATGGAAGACCGTCCGCAAAGAGGAACGAGAGTAAATAAATAAATAATGACTATTAAACTCATTAATAACTTTAAAATTAAATACTTAATTATATCGAATTAATTAATAGCTATTTAATTAATGTTTATAAATTGTTATTTAATCAATAATTATTATATAATTAACTAATTAAATTTATTGATAATTAAATTATTATTTATTGAAATAATTAAACAGTTAAAATTAAATAAAATGTAAAGAGATAAATTGAATTAGTAAGCAATTTTTAATATAATTTTATTGTTAAAATAAAATTTTCGAGATAAAACTTCTACAGAAATTGTTATTCAATTACATAAAAGAAGTGCCACAGCCTTCGTATTCAGGGCTCTGGTGCATTCCGGCTAGAATTATGATTAATTACAAAAACTAAGAAGCACTGGAGCCGAGATCCGGTGGGCTTCGGCCCAATTTAAGCTCTGAGGAGGGAAGTTCTTTTATCATCACAAAAATTAAATATACTTAAAGTATAGCTGGTGAAAATTAAGATAATACTAAAAAGAGGGTGAAACATGAATGAGGGCGGGAGGGTATGAGTGGGTGGAAACAAAAAAGTGAGGGGAATCTTTGTGAGATAGAACGTTCTCTTTGACTTCGGCTCTCTGCTGATATAATTATAGCCATCAGCTTTGTCTGTGTGTCTGTCAAGTGGATGTGTGTCAGGGGTAAAATGAGTCCTAAATCTGACTCCTAAGGATGAATGTAAAGTTTCTGATTATGCTTCCTCCCATTAGTGGATACTGTAGGAAAGATGATGTATAGGTCGTGCTTGAGCAGTTTATCTCAGTGTTTCACTCTTTTTGTACTCGCTGTCACTTAACGCACATTTAAGAACACAAATTTTCCTTCCTGCGAGGATAACTAACTGTAAACATTGATAACAATACACAAGATATGATGGCATGACGAGAAATTTACACGTTCCTAAACAAACTTCCCCCAAATTTCTTGCCCTTCTTACGGGGAAAGGTTTCCGCATGTGAGTGAGGGGACTTTACTTGAACGTCTCATGTTCTCGTGAGTTCGTATTTCTAGGGAAATAGAGTATTGCAAGGTCTGCTTATTGTTAAACTAAAACGTTAGGAATTTTAAATTATTTTCAACTTTAAATTGTGGTTCAGTTTTATAAAAAGAAGTACCGGAGCTCATCTTATTTATGGCTCCGGTGCACTCCAGCTAAAATTGTAATTTATCTTAAAAATTGAGAAGTACGGGAGCCGGGCTCTGGTGGGCTCCGGCGCAATTTAAGCACTGACCACAAGCCCCTTACAAAACATGCCACAGTTCAAAATTTACCGCAATGATCCAACTGATTATGTCATAATAGGGTTTCCATAACATTCAACTACTCAGGTTACCATAAATGGTGTGGTGTATTTAATTATGGCAAAGCACACTAGGGCTATCTGCCTAAGGGGAGGGATGCCTTTCGTGGAGGACTTTCTAAGGGAAACTGGCTCGTATACATGTTACACATGGGGAAAACCACGAAAACGCCCATGCAGCCAGCCCGTTCGCGGGATTCGAACCTCGGACTGAACTACCAGTGTTCAGCGTCTTTACCGCTCGGCCGCTGGTGGGCTGGTTACCATAAATGACAACAACTTGGCGATAAATGAAACAACAACTTCATGATAATACAAGGGGTACCCTTCAGTCTACTGTAACCATGGACATGATATGGTACTGTATTTGAAAACAGATAAACAGTGGTGATGCAATGTGAAAAATTGTACAAGAGAATACCTTTTTTAAAAGGAATATAGTTCAAGGGCTATAGAATCACATTTAATGCTGTGCTCCGGTTCATTTACAGCAGGTTGAGAAAATTAACATCTGTTGAATAGGGAAAAGAAAAGTTGGGTGTAGCTGGCAAAACAGTAATAGATTGGAATCCTGTGGGAAGATTGTGCTCATTTTTTGTACTTTCAGAATAACCAGTGCAGGTTTTAATGAATTGTTTTTTCTTTTAATCTGAAGCTTGAATCTATATTTATATTAGTTTTTTAGTGTTTTAATGTTAAATTTGTATCTGTCAACTAACTGTATAATAATATATAGCTATATATGTGTATCTGTCAACTGTATAATAATATATAGCTATATATGTGTATCTGTCACCTATATGTGTGTGTGATTGTTTATTAAATGTAAGGTGCCAGTCCCTCCAGAATTCTACAAGAAGAATTTCATGTTAGCCAGCTTTAACTTTCAACAGAATAATACAGAAGTACCAAAAATTATAACAGATGTTTATAGTTGATGTTAGTATTCCTGCAGAATGCATAGTAAGTTAAAAAAATGGTCCCACATTCCACCAAATAAGAACTGTGGTTAATTATCCTTGCTTAATAAAGAAGGAAAACCAGTACCTATATGCTAATGGAAGAATTTGATAACTTTTGTGGTAATTTGATACAACTAGTTTTTCTTTATTTTGTGTGGAAAATGTTTGGCAACTGCTTCTAACATACCAACAAAGGATTTTTTTAACGTACAACTTTCTGCTTCCACATGAATTCCATTAAGTATGACTTCAAATGATGTGCTGCTATACACCTGTGTATCTTGTTTTGCTATCTTGAAGAACTCTATACCTGTGTGATATTTTACATGTGAACTCTGGAATGTGTATTTGCAAAATTGAATTTGTGGTTCATTTTGAAAAGCTTAAAACTGGCCTTTTTAAATTTTTTCTGTTTTATAGGCAGTCTCAGAATAAATGGTTGTTGCTTTTTTGATATTTTTTTTAATTGCATTTAACAAAATCATGGCATTTGTGTGGGGCTCTATAAAAAAAGTTTCTTTAGTTTCTCACCAAATACCACTGAAAATCCACTGAAGTGGCAGAATGCAGCCAATGTTATTTTTTTCTTTTCAACAACAGGTTTTCATCAGTCACTGTGATAAGCTTTCACCTCCTATTTATTTTATTTTCATGACTCTGCACCTTGTAAACACATATTTCTCTCATATAATTGTTTTAGTTTATGACAGTAGTATCACTCTGTTGATTTCTTCCATGCAAAATTTTATTCATGTTATTTTCTTGGACTATCTGAAGATAAATCTGATGGCAGTCTTCTTGCAGCAAACCAATTGCCAATTCCTATTCCCATCAGTTCCATGTCTTTTGAACATCACCATGTTCTTTTCGATTGACTGGAATAAAACTTCATTTTGTAAAAATTGGAACATTGATGGTTAGTTAGCAATATATTATATATAAGAGAATTTTATATTTGCTTTATATGAATAGAGAATATTTGTTAAATACGTACATATATATATAATATATTATTATAAATGTAAGAAACTTGTAGCTTCATTTTAATTGTTTGGTAGAGGCAATAGACCCATGATCGAACTATATACTTTGGAAAAAAATTCCCTCAAACTGTTATATTGTTGCAATAGCAATGAATTTTATTTATGGTGCCAGAGTTGGCAACTCTTTTGGCGAATTTTGGCTTTTAACTGCTAACACAAAAGTACTGGAAAACGTATGCAGGTTCATCATTAGGTAACAGCTGACAGGTAGATAAGTGTATGAATAAATTGAGATGAAGGCCAGTGTCGATGGTATGGAGAATTCTCCTTATCATATCCTAATCCAGCAGTTACTGAAGACTGCATTGTAGCCATGAAAATATGAGTTAGAACATTAGGATAAAAAAGGTGGCAACATCATCAGTGTTAGACATCAGTATTGCTTGCATCAGCCTATCATATAATTCATGAGAATCTGAAGTTATGAGAATTCTGTGTAAGATGTGTATGCAAGTGCTTGACACCCAAAATGAAAGGGAGGCATTTTGATACACCTTAAAATATTCTGTATCAGTATAAAGCTGATAATGAAGCATGTCTGTGGTGATCATCACTTGAGATGAGATTTAATTTAATTTTTTTAATATTTCTCAATTTATGTGAGTGTTACTTAAAATAAATATGAAACTTTAATATAAAATATTTCTTTCTTTCTTAATTTTCTTTTATGTTTTATATATTTATTAGTTATTTTTGTTCAGGATAGGATTATGTCTGCTCCTGGTAAACTCTTGCAATTTCATAACTGTGAAATTCTTCGAGGCTCTAAAATATTCAGAGAGGACCTATGGGTTCGTGACAAAAAAATTGTAAATCCTGAGCCTGTATTTTATGATGAGAAAATTATTGCAGATGAGAAAATTGATTGTGGTGGTGCTTTAATTGTACCTGGATTTATTGATCTGCAAATTAATGGTAATAATCAAGTTATGTTTATCATTTTTTGTTGTGTGTTTTGTTGTAATGTGTAATACTTTTTTTTTTTTTTTTTGCTTGTTTGTTTTAATCAGCAGTTTAAAGTGGGATAGGATAGGGAATTAGAAAATATCTCACAAAATAAGTTATTTTATTATAGTATACATTAAGGCAGTATTTAACTTATTATATCTTAACTTTTGAGATTAATTCAGTTTGTTTAAAGTACCTTCGTCTCCCTACTGTTAGAGATTTCTTCTTCATTTTTGTTACAATATATGCTATGTTTTTAAAATTATTTCATTAATATAAAACAGCTATAAATTTTTATTTTATATAATTTTAGGTAAAGAAATAAATATTGCAATATTTGTTCTATTTTCAAAAGTAATTATGACATGGTCATTGTTTAAAATTTTACATTTATACTATTATTTATGTTAAAATCTGATTTTGTATTAATCACTTTTTTTGTTTTAATGACTGAATTAGAATTTTTCAAAAGAATCTTACATTCTTAGTAGTTTTATTATCCATATTATTGAAGATACTTATTAGGTATTCCATGTCGGCTAGGTGTATCAACTATTATTTCTGTATGTGTAAAACTAAGTCAGATTATTTAAATATGGCAAAACACATGAGGGTTATCATCTGAAAAAGAGGAATGCCTTTGTGAAGAGCTTCTTAAAGGAAATTGGCTCATATTCATATGTAAACTGTGAAAACTCCCATGCATCCAGCCTAAGATTTGAACTCCAATTCAGTACCAGTGTTCAGCAATTTGATCACGTGGTCGCTGATGGTCTGAAAGCACATTCATATTTAAAACAGAAGTTTTGTGTTGAAATCTTTATGGCTTGGATACTGAACTGCATCTGAGATCACCCTGAAAAAACAGAAATATTTTAAAACGGTGCTGTAGGCCATCTGAATGAAACACTACCAATTACAGATAGATCTGGAACTATTTGGTTGATCATCGGCAAAGATCTCTTTGAAACTCTTTTTAAGACATCATAACTCTGAAAATTTTCTTAGTCTTAGCAAAAGAATTAGTGTGCGTGTCTGGTATAGAAGTCTTTTGTTTAACCAGCCATCTATTGGAAACTTAGTATAGTCTACTCTAATCTGGACTTGATTCTGAGCATAAGAAAGAAATTTTCTATAGATACAGAGTTTAAGATGGTTGTTCTTGTTATAATTGGCAAAAGATACCCTACTGCAAATTGATTGCAAATTACATGGGTAGTACCACAGTGGTTGGCATTAAAAATGCTGCAGCTGGAGTACACTTGAAACATTTTAATCTCAATAGAGCTGTAGGAACTGTAGTTTTTAAGGAAATTGGCAGAGGAATGTAGTCTGTTATCTTTACTGACTCCCAGGTTATTCTTAAGGCACTTTCTTTTGTGTCCCTTAGTGGTAAAAAATGCTTTATGTTTGCTAGATTGTTCTTGATTCTCTTTTGGAAAGCAGACAATATATTATTGGAAATGACTGGGTGGATAGCTTGTGCAAGGCTGGTTTTAACCTCGGCCACATTCTGTTGCTAATTTGTGTATGGTTAAAATACTTATCCAGCATCAAGCTATATCAGTAAATGGCTTTGAAAAATTAATTGGGCAGATATCCTAGGGTTCCTTATTGAAAACTCCAGCTCTGTATAATTTTCTTAGAATTCTGAATGTAGCAGATTTTCATCTCAGAACTGGCCATGATTATTTGCAAACAGTATTTATTCATATCAGTCTAGTAAATTCACAGTAGTGCCTGTTATGTGGCCTGGCTGACATGACTGGTGACCACATCTACTATTGCCCTGATCTTAGTGACTTTGCAGATAGTCATTATGCAGAAGATATTAAACTTTTTTTGCTTTCCTTTAAGTCTTTGTTGTATTGCCTGCAAGATAATAAGAACCAAAAATCCAAGGCCTGGCAAAGGATTAAATGAAAAGTTTTTTTTAAGTAACTATTTAGAGTGAAATTTTTTTAAGATAAAACTAAAAGATGAAATGAAACCCAAAGAAAATGTATAGTACTATTAATTGGGTGAGGTAATCAATGTAATAAATTTTAAAACATGATACAGCAGAAGAGTGAAAAGCTCTTAATGCCTGAAATCTGCATGGTATGTTAGCTGTAAAATTCACAGTTAAAAAAGGAGCATGAAACACAAAAGCTTCAAATTAAAAATTGAACATACTTAGCAAATGATGTTACAGCAAATGGAGGAGGCATCAGTTCCAGAAGATATTTTCCATTGCTTATTGGTTAGGAACATTAAACATACAATGATGACGAATCACTTTTTGTCCCACAGATGCTCTCCCGTTTGGGTGTGACATCCATTTGCTGGATCAACAGTGTGAAATTTGTGGCTCACGATGAAATGTTCAAAGCTGGCATCTCTCAGTTCATCCAATTTATATGCCTTCCAAGAATCTGTGTAAATACTTGTTCCTTCCATAACATTTTACTTAATGACAGCCTATAAAGTTTTTACCGATTGATCAAAAACTGCAACTAAAAAGCATTCACTGCTCAATTCTCTGCACAATCCACTGATAAATCATTGTTATGGAAGAACCTGCCCAATGTTGCTCTTTATCCTAGTGAAAAAGCTTACATGTATTTCGAGAACCTTGTCGCTTTCGTCGATTTTCATTGTTGGCTAGGCTATTAAAGCTGCTGTGCAAACCTTCCACATGTAGCTGTTCCAGTCAACAGTTGTATTATGGTTCATTTTAAGTTGTAATTCGCAAAATTCAATTGATGTCATCTCCTGGCACCAGAAATATAAGAAGTTCATGATTGTGAGGAAGGGATTTTGGAACCTTTAAACCAGTTTTGCTTTCGTTATCCTTTTCTCTTATTGTAAGATCATTTCCCGCATCACCATTTCATGGATATTTTGTTCAAAACTCAATTTCATTTCATGACTTTTAATTATTAATAATTCCTAGTGTCAAACAATGTATTTTTCTTCAATATTTAAGTTTTACTTGTTGTGTCATATTTTACTTATTTAGTCACACTGAATTTTCTCATTATAGGTGGGTTTGGGTTTGATTTTTCAACTTCAGAAAATGTTGAAAATAGTGTTACTTCTGTAGCTAAAGGTGTTCTTCAACATGGAGTTACTTCATTTTGCCCGACAATAATTACATCTTCACCTCATGAATATCGACAGGTATTGTTTTGCATCTTCATAATATTTTATGTAAATTTTAGAGTATTTTAAGGTTGGAACTTTTTATTTTTAAATTGTAGTTTATATAATTTAATAACAGTATTGCAGTTTATGTAATTTAATAATAGGGGCAATCCAATGCTATCTGCAGATTATGAACACTCATGCACAAAATTATTCATTAGGATATGCTGCTGTTTTATTGTAACTTCTTTAAACAGGAGCTTTTTCACTCATTTTACCTATTAAATACACATTGATATGTGTTGGATCATACAGATCAAGCTTCATGGCAAGTGGGAAACATTTGAAAATTCTAATCTAAAATAATTTTTGTTCTAAGTGTAGTAGCAGCATGCTCTAATTATTTTTCATGTCCTAATATACTGTTATATGTAGTTGTTAGTAATATCTTCTGTAACCATCAGTGATTTTTGTATGGTGCATGTTTTTAGTTAAAAATTGATATCATTGCAGTATGATTTATTTATGATTAGCAATGAGTCATTATTGCTAAAATGTAAAATTTTCTAGAATTATATTTATAACTTTGCATTTTGTCATTATTACTTAGGAGATTTTTTAAAAAATAGTAATATATATATTTAAATAATAGTTTTGTTTAAATATATTTCATGTATTTAAACTATTAATTATGACAAAAAGATAAATTAGGGTACTCATATTAGACTGTGAAAGAAAGTATTACATGCCCATTTTACGTAAAACTTCATTTAATGGTTATTCATTGTTGATCTGATAAACACTGAATTTGAAAAATTGCTAGTATGTTTTTTTCATAACTTCGACATCATTGCATTTTGAAGTGTGAAATTTTAACATTTTGATTATAATCTAAATCTACATTTTTGATGTACTATTGTGCTTATTAAAATTATATAAACACTGTATATATTAAATTACATTAACACTAAATATGAAAACAGCGTACAAGTATCATGTAGTGTTTTGAATATTTATCAGTTATTGTCTCATATAAAGCAACAGCAGCAGGGAAGGAAAAAACTCTAGCAGTGAATTTACATGTTGCTTTTGATAAAATAACTGTCAGGATCCTAGGAATCTAAATAATAATGTCAACAACTGTTTTTCCTGAAACTATTTATTAAATAAGTTATTTAATTTTAAACTTGAAGAGCATTATTTTTTGCCTTAAAGAAGGCTTGTTTATTGCCGTATGTCTAAGTTTATATTTGTAATATTGAATGAAAGTGTGCTTTTGTCCATTAGAAACATAGTCGGTCTGAATTCAGTAATTAGTGACAGTATTTCTCGTTTCTTCATGTGAATTTGAGATAATTTCCTTTAAAAATTTATTCACAGTAGTATAATAAAATTTTTCAGGTTTTACCCTTATGTGTTATAACATAAAACAATTCTATTCAGAACAAGGATATTCATCTTACATAAAAAGCTTCTAAGTATTTTGCAGTAATTAATAATCATTAATTGTGTAGTATACAGGGTGAATCTAAAAAAGTGAATGCAGCTATACAAGCAATAGAAAGTTTCATCATAGAAAGTTTATGGGCAGAATGCAAATGATGAGCCTCTAGGTGGCATTGTAAAATGGTATAAAAATTGGTCCTTTCACACAATGGCATTTTCTACCGTGGATTGCGGAGAGAATGGCTACTTATATGAACCATGAAATTTTCAGGGCTGTGGATTGATTGAGGTGGTCCTATAGCTTGTCCACCACGATCACCAGATCTCTCATGTTTGGACTTGGTCATATGGAAAGCTTAATCTACGAGTGTCCCATTGAAACCAATATGGATCTAGTCGCTGAGATCGTCCTTGTTGCTGGTGATCCTTGGGAAATGCCTGGTGTCTTTGCAAATGTGCGTTAGTCCCTGTCTTGCAGGTGTGAAGCCTACACTACAGCTGGCGGAAGGTCTTTTGCGCAATTTCTTTGACCATATACATCAATTACATTCCTGTTTTCTGAAGTATATCTTGTCATTCTTGTGTTAATTCTTTAAATGTGACAGTGGGAAGCTGCCTTTTAACTTCTCAGTGCTTGCTACCATACATTCTGTGATGAATATTACTTGTATAGCTGCATTCTATCACCTCATAAAGTTTCGCTCACTTTTTCGGATTCACCATGTCTATTTCATGCAGACTTTGTGCAAGGAAGAAATAGATGAAATAGTATAACTATATACCTCTTATGTAATTTTACCATTTTGAATTTTTTAGCTTTTGAAAATTTATTTTTATGCTGAAAATTTTGTATAAGTTGTAATTTGTCTGTAATTTTGAAGTGGTTCTAAGACTACGCCATCCTTTACATTTCATTATACTGATTTACATTTGATTGCACTGATTTTTCTAAGTATAAAGAGCCTTTTCATTTTCAAACTCACACATATATTAAAATATAACTAACAATTAATCTAAAAAAAGTAGTTTTAACTTTTAACAATAAACATTCATTAAGAAATAAGCATTCATTAATGGCTATTTTTTGTGATTATTCCTTCTGCCATAAGCAGTGGTTGCATCTTTTTGATTGTACTGGAAATATTCTCTTTACAAAATCTTGCTGAAATTGAACTGGATGACAAATGGCCTTGGAGCATTTTATAGACACTTTAAGCTTATTTTTATTTGCAAAATGTCTTTGTAGATGAAAGACAAATGACATTGGAAAATTTGCTCATTTTTTTTTGCAATACCTACTAATATCAAAGTTGACAATACAGAATCTGCTTGCAATCAAAAATATTCAGCTGTGGACTGTAGATTCGAGAACTTGAAATTTCTAATATTTTCTATTCTGCAAGTGACATTCAAAAGAACCCAGTTCTTGTTGAAATATTAATTGGATCAGATGTGGCAGGGAAACTCTGTATAGGTGAAAGAAATGGCTAAAAGGAATTTTAGTTGCCATGAAAATTAAATTGGGCAGGACATTAAATGGAAAAAATTCCTTGGAGTCAGAATAGAAAAACATAAATATGAGATGTACACCAAAATTTATAATAATATATTTGAACTGCTTCTGTAATTAATAAATGAAGTTTCTAACGCCTTATATTTACATGCTTGGTATAGACCTGTTTTTAGCTTCCTAAATACCCTTATAAAAAACTAGCAGTTAGAACAACACCGAAAGATTGCACATAAGGGGGAAAACATGGATTTCCTTTGAATTTGAAGGAATAGTCCTGTATGATTTACCATAATCAAAAAATCCTGTTTCATCCAGTCTGTGGAAACGTAAAAGCAACTGAGACAGAAAAATTTTGCATTGAAACTAATTGTACATACTTTGTATCACGAATTAAGATGTTGGCTTTTACTGTTAAAACAACGCTGAATGAACAGGGAAAAAGGCAAAAAAATTAAAATTTCAACAAAAATTTCTTCTGTGCATATCTTTCAGTGTGTTCTAACTGCTAGTTTTTACAAAGGGTATTTAGGAACTAAAAACGTCTATACCAAGCCATGTAAGATAAGGCAGAAAACTTCGTTTATTATACAGAAGCACAAATATATATTATAATTTTCTACTTAAAAATACATTGTAAAAAATATAAAAAAATAAAAACATGCAGAGGAAACCTAGTATTACTAATTGAAAAAAACAAACTTATTTTTGCTAACATACAGATTAACAAACCAAAAGAAAAGCATTTTTAAAAATTTTTAAAACATATTAATATAACCTTATGTGGTTACCATCTTGCACTTCGGGTTTAGACTATATCTTTCATGAAAAACTGGAATCAACTATAAAAGATTAATTAAATAAAACTTTCTATAGCAAATACAAAATTTAAAAATTCTTTTATGTTCAGAATCATGAAAATTTGTTTGATAGATCATGGTAACTTAATATACATAAACATTGATTTTTAAGGTAGCTCTACACCTTACTAGCATAGATAGCTTGAATTTATAAAATTAAAGTTACTGGAAGACTAGTTCAAATGGACATGGACATCACATGGCCTAATTGACAGTGTTGCCTATATATGAAGCATATGTAAAACACACTTCAGAAAAAGGGAAATAGATCATTAAAAAAATTAGTGTCCCTAAAAACTATAGGTCAAAATTAACTACCCTAAAAACTAATTGTTCCAAAATTAGACAGCACTTCAATTAGGCTATCAGCTACAGGTAATTAATAACTGTTACAATTAATAAAACTAGATTTAAAACAGTTTCTTACTAAATTTAAATGAAAGTAATAGGATCATTAAATGTAACTTTGGCAAATTACTGAGTTTAATTTTTTTTCTTTTCTTTCTTTTTTTTTTTTTTTAGAAGTTGCAGATGATATTACCAAAGATATATGTTTGAAATTCATACTAACTTAATTTCAAAAGTTCATTCATTTAAATCTGTTTACTCAGTTAATGTATTGTAAACATTTTAAGTGTTATAGATGCTATTGAGTAAAATGATGCAGAATTAAACATTTAATGTACAAATAATTACAAAAACAAAAAAAAAAAAAAAAATCCCTTTTTACTACAAAGCATTTGTTAAACCTCATCACCATTCATATATAGTGGAAAATAATTCTTAGTGACTATTTTTCAGAAATTCAAAATAGAATGAAAATGGTTGGCTGGAAGCAGCAGATAGGTCTATAAAATGATGCCTAGGAAAATATTAAAAGTCTCTACCTGTGTTGGTTTTAGGTATCGTGCTAGTATCATTTAGAGAAAGAATCTTGCAGCTGACACAATCTAGCTTGGCTTGTATGATCATGGCAAAGCACGCAAAGGCTCTCTGACTAAAGGGAGGGATGCATTCATAGGGGACTTTCTGAGAAAAATGGGCTCGTATGCACATTACACATGGAGAAAACCATGAAAACATCATGCAGCCAGGCCATTTGCCAGCCTTTGAATCACCAGTATTTGGTGGCTGACTGCTCATCCACTGGTGACCCACATAACACAGTAATAACCTATCTGTGACATAATTAAGAGATTGGAGTTGTGAAAATTTCTTTTAACATTTCCAAGATGTGCACTTCAGTTACATCAAATATTTTGGCAATCTGAGTTTTGTCTCTATAACTTTGTTTTAGAAATGAGACTTTTTAACAATTTTATAATTTTATAAAAAATATATTCCTCATATTTTTCAAATTTAATTTTTTTAAATTTTATAAAAATATATTTCCTCATAATATTTTCAAATGTTCGTGCAAGAAATTAACACATGCCTATATGCTGCCATATTTTTGGTATTTATTTAACATTTACCTGCATCTTTACCTTCTGTAGGACACTTTATCAAAGCTAGTTAGTACTTTCAGTATTGTTCAAAGAATGCCTTAGTGGTTTGTCAGTGATACGAATAGAAAAGGTTATTATGTATAGTTTATATCTAAATGATTTAATTAGGAATTTTGTGGCAGCTAAAATTTAAAGAATTAGTATGTAATAAATGAAAAAACTTATTTAATTTTGATTCAAAAATTCTATTTAATGGGCAGGAGTGCCAAAAGAGAACTTAGAGGTGTCTCTCATCCATGAGCTCACACTGGTTTAACGAGTTGCAATGGAGTATATTATTCAGCTGTTTTATGCATAGATAATAATTTATCTTATAATATTTATTTATAAACTGAAATACACATTGTTCTAAATTTTACAGATAATACCTAATATAGCTGTTCAAAATGGTGGAAAACATGGAGCAGGAATATTAGGTTTGTGTGCTTTTGGGATGGAATTTATTTCTTAATTTTGGTACTTTCATTGTATTTAAACTTAATTTATTCAATTTACAGGAATACATGTTGAAGGTCCATTTATTAATAAGGAAAAAAAAGGTGCTCATCCAGTTAACCATATAAAAGATCTGAAAAATGGATTTCATGATATAATTGATACATATGGCAATCTTGATAACATTCGTTTAGTAACGTTGGCACCCGAGTTAGATCCTGAAGGGTCTGTTATTAAAGAATTAGTTAAAAGAGGCATAACTGTTTCTTTAGGTAAGTATAAAAATCGTGTAAGTTGCATTTTTTTAAATGTACATGATATATTTTTTTTTCCTTTCTAATCTGCCTTAAATCTATAAATAAATCACTGTTTATTAAGCTATTTACCATTACTAATTACTGCTACAAAGAATACTGCTTCCATTTTTTCTACTATTTTTTTAATAAAAACTGAAATTTTATATTGGCATTGATAATTCCTTTTCATACATGGAGACTATTCCTCGTGAAACTATTCTTTCTCCAAGGAAAATATTTTCCTTAGTTTCTCTAATTAGCTAGCCTAACTACAGTTAAATGTAAGGTCTTTTATTTAGTTTTCTTATTTTACATTTCATTTAACTTAATTTTTATATTGTATCATGATTAAATATATGTATGCATTCTGTGTGTCATATCTGATATGTATCTAGCATATCAGATATGACTATCTTTTTTTATATCTAGTGTGGTAGTTTCTGAAACATTTTATGTGTCACATTTTTTTACATTACTTTTAAACATTGTAGCATTGTACATTTTTGTAATAAACTACAAAATTGTATGGTAAGACATTAAGCAAAATTAATTAAATAAAATTTTAATATTTCCTTAAATTTTATATTCTGTTTAGGTGATATTGAATATTCTACATGCACCTTTGCAAAAACTGAAATGAAAATAATAATTTTATTTTATTTAGTTTATTAATTTTATCATTCTTCATTAAGAATACTGAAGACTATTACTACTTTAGCATGCATGTAAAATGTTATAAATGCAGTGTCCAGTATGTAACTGACAGTTTTTAAAGTTCTTATGTTTCAGCAAACCAAGAGTTTTGCTCACAAAGCATTGTAAAAGCAAGTGTAAATTTGTGAGTTTGATGCAGTAAATTTTCATACATGTCGGTAGTATGATTAGTGGGCTAAAATTATGCAAATAAAAATAGTATTGGTACAGGAAAGAGCACAGTGTGTGCAGTGTGCAATGAAACTTCCACCATGTGTTTCATGAGCTTTTTCCATTACTAAACATCATGAATGTTAGGAAGGAGCAGTTTTTGTGTAGAGAGAATCTGGTGAAATGTTAGTCGTGGTAAAGTGCAGTTATTAGATGGACATGTGTTAAATGGTGATCTAGCTTGGCTAATCAGAATAGCATAAATTATTATTAAACTAAATTTATTAACAAACTAATTATTTACATACAGCTATATGCTAGAGGATCATAATATACCGTCATGACATTCGTTCGGGCTCTCTTCTGTCTGTCATGCTTCTCGATTTTGCAACCTCTAATGGTGGCTTTCTTACAATGCCATCTGTTAATGTATTATATTCAGCTATTCTGACATGGAAATCATCCTGATTTTCCAGAATTATAAACTAATTTCCTAATTCCTACATATTTCTATGTTAAATTCATAGTATGCATTATTTAACGTGCATATTGCATTTATAATAATATTACAATGCACAATACACATAATAATAAAATTGATATAATGAACATACTTAAATTCACATAAATTGTTTCAATGTGCTGAGTTAAAAATGGATATTTTCTCTGAATTATTACTATATACATATGAAATTACAATGATTCATTATCATTTCTAAACTAATAAATACATGTTGAAGTATTTCTAAACTAATAAATACATGTACAAGTACAATGCACGATAAATCTTTCAGTCTAATATTCAGTAAGTTCTGAAATATTTAGCCTTTCGAGGCCTTATCAGCAGTCACATGCATATAGATGTAAAAAAGGAAGATTCTTACCTTAATTAGAGCAAAATATGCCATCAGTAATCCTTATGAACAGATCTTTGTGGATTTTTTGAGGAATTGAGCTTGGTAACTGGCCTGTCTTGGTCGTAATCATCATAAAAAATGGGCTCACACTTCCACGGTTGTAGTTGACTCTCATGAGCAGTGGTGGGACTTTGATCCTTCGCTTTTAGTCCTGTTATTGTGTAAGTATCACTAGGTAATACTTCCATTATTATAAATGGTCCTTAATATTTTGGCTGCGTTTTGGCAAGTTGACCTACAAGAAAAAGTTGAAGGCTCTCATTTTATGATGGAGGGTATATGCTTTAGTATAGAATTATTTTTTATTATAATGGAATGTTTTTAGTACAGTTCTCAAAGGCAAGTTATCTTATGGAAGAAACAGAGGCCTTTGCAAGTAACTGCGCAGCAACCCTGGACCAACTGTACTGTTACACATTAGTCAGCCAAAGTGGATATACCTAGATGAAGGAAATGTTACTTTGAAGTACAGGGCTTTCTAGTTTGGGTAAGATAAGGAATTAGGAATGAAATATAACAAAAATAAAAACATAATTTAAGTAAGAATGTTACTATATTATTATGTTAAAATGTAAGTTGTATATATGAACATTAGTGTTAAATTTTTTAGATTTGCTATTTCAAGTTAAGTAATGGGTCAATGCAGTTGTTATATTTGTGATATTATATGAAGAATTCTGAAAAGCATTTCCATGAAATATCATAATTGCATGTGGATTTTGCAGAAACAAGAACTTTTTCACATCGGTCTGAAATATTGAAAATTAATAGAACTCTTAAAAGCTGTGCTTATTTTCAAATTAAGACAATGCTCAAAATTCCTGTTGTCCACTATTTTAGAACTTATTATTTAGCTCAAAATTTAATGATTTGTTTATTCTAAATTCCTTTGTTTTTTAATGTTTTAGTGCTTTTTCTGTTTGAAGGATGGAAATATATGTATAAAAAATAAATAAATCAAAAATTTAACTTAAATTTATAATAGCTATTTCACTCTTCAATTTAATTTGGATATTTTCATGTTTTGTTCTAAAAGCAGTACTTGCTTAAAATAAACCTCTCTAAATTATGTCATTTCAAAATTATATCCACCATCATATGACAGTCACATAACATTGGTGAAGTAAATGATTTTCCAAACAGAAAGTCAACCAGCCAGTAATTAGATCTTTATTAATCAGCCAATCAAATATCAAAATTGAAACTAATTCATTCTGAATTAAAATTTCTTAATTTAGAAATCAAACAACAAAAAATCAGCATTATATTTGCAAATTTTCACAGGACTAGTTTTGATGATTTTACCGAACCCTCACCCTTAGCTGCCAAAGTGCAAATGAACGAGGTAAGATATGGTATTAAGATGAGATAAGAATAAGAATGGCTTGTCCGGAGTTAAGCTACTGGTGCCATCTATAGATGAAACAAGAAAACTAAAACAATTTTCTTAAAGGTTTTTAACTAGAACAGAAAGATTTTTTGAATGTGAAATGTGTTCAAAGCAATTTAAGATTTCTTCCTGAACACAATTTGCTTCTGCTGCTGCTCTTGGAAAAAATTAATAAATTCCGTAACAGGCCTGCTTATTGTAGTCAGTTTATTCTCTGTTGGCTTGGTGCACTAAATAAAAAAAAGATTATTTAAATCTGCATCAACTTCAAGTTTGTTCTTCGTTACGCACGTTCTACTTATTTAAATTATTATCTATCTTTAACAAGTCTACATTTTTACATGAATTTTCTTGAGAATATGTCTGCAAAATCAATACTACTCTCTTTTTTAAATGATATGATTTCTCTAAAAGTTTAAGTTCTTTTTGACAGTGATCTCAGAAGTAGACGAAAGTAAAAAAAGAAAACGTTTTGCCATCCAGGTCCATGAAAGTATAGATATTGCTGGCTTACCAATTTTGCTAATCATCACAATGATTAACCTGTATGTCAAAATGTTCCTGAAGATAACATAGAAATTTTCATAGCTAGTAATTAACTTTTAAACATTATAAAAACTGTACTTAACTTTCTCATATAAGTATTAAGATTATAGAAAATCATAACCATATGTAAACTAAATTCAGCTAACTTTATGCACATTAAAACACTGAATGCTATTTTTGAAGAATTCATTTGACTTTTAATTTTTAGATATAATTTTGTACATAAAATTTATCATTGGGTAGCAGGATATTTAAAAAATTTTTTAAGTCCTTTTAATGAATGAGTAAACCTTTAGTTTGAAACTATTACTTTTTAAACCAACTCTTTGGAATATGAAAAATGCATTTGAAGTATAGAGTCAGTTAAAAGAAGAAAAATTGTTCAACCCTTTCAGAGTTGTCTGATCATAGGTGTGTATTCTGGACTACCCTTTTTTATGACAAAACACATATTGTCTTAAAAATGTTTAAACATTCAATGCACAAAATCATTGTTATTATTGTCATCACTTAATTACACTACCATAAACAAAGAACAGATTAAAATAGCAAAATATGTGAAAAATTATCTCAAAATTTTTATCAAAGCTATAGCTAAATTTGTTAATTTAGTAGATATGTGCATAGTATATGTATACAAAAACTTATATTTGAGGAAACATTTTTCAGTTGTGCAGTTGTTTCATTGAATATGGTTAAAAAATGAGGGCTATCTTCATAGGAAAAGGTATGTGTTCATGGAGGACTTCCTGTGTGAAACAGGCTTGTATCATGCTACACATGGAGAAAACTATGAAAATGTTGATGTGGGTACTCCAGGCGCTCATACTCCGAGTTTTGGTATTAATTTGGAGAGAGTATACTGTATTAAAACACATCTGTTTATGTTTTTATTTCTAGGTATGCAAGTATCATAAATATCAAATACTCTGAGGTGATAGTGCATACTGAGTGGCTATGTGATAACAAATAGTATTTTCATAAGTCTTTAAAAAATTAATATACACTGCTCGACATTGAAAATGCAACACCAAGAAGGAGTGGTCAGAAAGTGATGAAATTTAGAAAAAAGACAGAGACAGCAAGCAGCAATAAGTGATCTTGATTTCAAAATGATAGTCAGAATACAGAGCGATAACGGCGTTGGCTCAGTAAGATGTAGGACCACCGTGGACAGCGATGCATGAAGAAACACGTCTAGGCATAGAGTCAATAAGAGTGCAGATGGTGTCCTGAGGGATGGCTCTTCCTTCCCTTTCAACCATTTGCCACAGTTCGTCTTCTGAACAAGACGGGCAGTGTGTGCAAACGGCATACGATCACATCCTACACATGTTCGATTGGTGACAGGTCAGGAGAGTGCGGTGGCCAGGAAAGCATCTGTATACTTTGCAGAGCATGTTGGCAGATGCGAGCACTGTGTGGTCGGGCGTTATCCTGCTGAAAAATTGCATTAGGCAGCCCCTGAAGGTAGGGGATTGCCATTGGCCACAGTACATTATCCAAGTATCGTTGGGCCGTCATAGTGCCCTGAATACGAACTAGAGGTGACCTGGAATTGTAGGCAATAGCGCCTCAAACCATTATCCACGTTGTCGCACGGTGGGGGTATTCCATAGTTATTCCTGGATTAGATGTCTCCACGTTGACGCTACACACGTATGCGGCAACTGTCACTTGATAAACAGAAGCATGACTCATCTGAGAACATGCGTTTCGCCATTCTGTCATCCACATCGCTCCAGTCTGGCACTATTCTAAACGTTGGCATCTATGCTGTGGGGTCAATGGCAGTCTTAACGGAAGCCGTGGGTGCAGGCCAGATTCAACCAATCAACGGGAAATGGTTCTGGTCGACATGGGAACATCCAGGGTATCTTGCGCATGTTGCAGAATCGCGGTACAAATGACTTGTGGGACCGCCATAGCTTGTCGGCGGATGCGTTGATTCACGCGTGCTGATATCGCTCTGGCTGCACCCCTCCTTCTTCCCACAATCCCTTGTTCCAACCATGTTGGCCATAGCCGATGCACTGTGCTCACATTCATGGGGGGTATCAGCTGCGATTTGACATAAGGACCAACCCACCCTTATCAGTCCGATCACCATACCCCTCGTAAAATCGTCTATCTGCTGGAAGTGCCTTCGTTGACAGCGGCCTGGCATTATCTCCTATTACACATATTCTCCGGGACAAAACCAACTTTTTTCGATAATTCGTCTTGTAGAAATAACGACACAAATATTGCCCATTCTGCACGTTCCTTTCCTTATATCTTACTTCATGTGCTTCGGAGAGCTGCGCATTCCACATCATTCGCATAATTCAGTGACGTGCGTCTACTCTAAAATTTGCATAAATTTCTGATCACTCCTTCTTGGTGTTGCATTTTCAATGTCGAGCAGTGTAGTTTCTATGATTACTTATTAGAGCTTAAAATTTTGGAAATGTTTAAAAAAATCTTCTGATAGGTAAGCCAATGTAAGTCTGCATTTGAATAAAGTTATAAAAGTGTTTCAGTATTTAAGTTAAAACTTAATAAATGTTTATCACTCTTTTAGGCCATTCAATTGCAAACTTATCTCAAGCTGAACACGGTATTGCTTATGGAGCTTCTTTCATCACGCATTTATTTAATGCTATGCTTCCCGTAAGTTACATACTAATAATTATATTAAAGCTATGTAAATGAAATCATCTTTAACAGTTAGCTGTTTAACACGTATGCTGCCAGAGTAGATATGTGGAACTTCACCAGAAGCAGCCACTGTAATTGAAGGAAAGAACTTTGTAGATGTTGACTTGTCATTCAAAACTATGCTTCCCAGCATAACAGATTCTTATTGTGTTGCAATTTCTGCATTATTTTCCCCGTGTACATTTTTATCAGAGTCATCTGATGAGACATACTGTTCTTCACTCAAATAAGGGAATTCACTCTTCACACTTGTCTGATAAATTGTCTTCTAAATATTTTGTAGGTTTTTTATCTGCTAACTGTCTTTTATACTTGTATCTTGATTGCTTAGGATGAGACAACACTTGTAAATTACTATTAATGCTGCTCATATTATGAGAAAATTTTGAAAAAATTTTACATGAAATTTTAAAACCCAAAACTAAAAATGTCAAATTTACTGCATTTACTACCACACCTGTAACAACTAAGACACAATACTAACTAATATGAAAACAAAGTGTTACACATTCACTATGGTCTGGCGTTTGATTAGTTATTAGATGATATCACCACATTACATGGCAGTGCGTGATCAGCAGCAAATGTATTGAAATGCAAAAATGAATCTTGAATTTTTCTGTAATGAAGAACAACATATTTTAAGTTTATATTAATGAAATAAAAGCTACCTTCAATATGATTACTTTTTAATTTTCTTAATTATTATGTGCAGTTGATTCATTTAAAATAATGAACAAAGATTTATTACTTTTTAGTTTCATCACCGAGATCCTGGACTTGTTGGCCTTCTTGCAAGTGAGAAATTACCAAAAAACAAAAGAATATTTTATGGCATTATTGCTGATGGAATACATACACATCCTGCTGCCTTACGAATAGCATTTCATGCAAATTCTAAAGGTAAAGTATTTGGAATTATATCATATACATTTTATTATCAGTTTTGGAAATACAAATGATTTATTTCGAGAAAACTGGAATGATAAAGCATGTATTTTACATACAGAATTTCATTTTTAGGTTTAGTCTTAGTTACGGATGCTATGTCTGCTATGGGTCTGAAATCTGGCAGCACATACTGCATAGGTGAGTCAAAAGTTGAAGTCACCCATGACAGAGCTGTTGTGGCTGGAACAGAAACATTGAGTGGAAGTATAGCAACAATGGATTCTTGTGTTCGATTCTTACATAAATCAACAGGTATGATGGGATTCAAAAATTATTAAATAGGTGGTTGTAGACTCATGTTTTCAGTTTAAGAAATGAATCAAGTTGGGCTATCAGATTATATTAAAATTTTCAGCTACTCAGTGGTCTAGTTATTTATGTTAATTATCTTCAAATAAATGCAAAGGACTTTTGCACATAGGTTAGAGCTTATGTTAAATTTAGTTGTGTAATGTTGTTTAAAATTAATGGGGTTTCTGACAGTGATGAGTATTCATTAGTTATGACTCAAAGGCATCATTTAAGTGACTGGCAAAAATGGTGATTAGTTGGTAAATTCTTTGGAGAAGAAAATACAAATGGAGATCACCCCAAAATTTGGAAGTGCTTTTTAAGTTGTGAAAGGGTAAACAGCTTGATCAAGGGTGACCAACAAAAACAACTGTGTCTAAAAGCCAATTTTTGCCATTGTTGGCTTGAAGAAACCATGAAGCAGTTACAAGATAATTAGTTTTAGACCTTCAGACAGCAATAGGACTTAGCTATTCAGTGTCTGCATGAAGTTTAATTTCATCTGGGAAGGCTAGTGGTTTATTTCCCACTCTCTTCATCTTCAGAACTTTTTAAGGTGATATCATCATGTTAAATAGAGCCAAGAGAAATAGAATCAGGTACATACAAGTCTAGAAAGCCTGAACTATGATTCCTGTTGTATTTTGATCCAGAGAGAGAGTGAGTAACATCCAACTTCCCTTTCCTTATTCATGAAAATGGTTTTATTCTTTGGATTGGAGTCATTAAAAATGGCAGTACAAAGGTTAATATCTTGGGTGGCTCCATAACTGGTCTTAGTACACCATGGAAGGCTCTTTGAGGGTGCTGTTGGGTCAGAATTGTTTTTTTTTTTTCAGATGTATGACAATGCTTATTCACATCTTGCATTTCTGGTGTCAGTATACCAGAGTCGTAGCTAGGGTTTTCAGCGCCCAGGGACAATTGAAGATTTCGTGCCCCCTACTGCTTGCCAAGGATGGAAAACATTTAATTCTAAAATGTCGTAACATCAGTTTGCCGCCCCTTGGATTCTGCGCCCGGGAACAGATGCCCCCTCTAGCTACGCCCCTCCAGTATACTTGTAAGTGAGAGATATCCCTTAAACGAATTGGTCGGCTTAAGGACCATTTCCACTGCTGCGTATGTGTTGCAGTGTATATGCGTTTCTCTAATTAGCGAGCGAATTCATTTTGATTGACATCTGTAATCCGGTCGATGTGTGGTGATGGATGAAGTTCAATTTCTATCCGCATGTCTGCGGATGTGTTGGGGTTACATGGTAAAAAAGGAGCAATCAGGTGTTATAACCAAAAATTAATAGCGGCAGAAGTAGTGATGAACACTGCCTTAGGGAAAGAATGTTTTGCTAAAAAATACTTATTTAACTAATATTAAAGTGAGATATCTGCATGCTGAAAAAGCAATCAGCTGAATTTAGTTAAAAAGAGATAAGAAAAATAAGATAACTGCAACTACAGTACTAGTTCGCTGATAAAATCAGGCATTCAAGAAATTCTGTTGAAGAAAATCAGGCACAAAAATTATGAAATAGCAAAATTTGTCCTGACAATTATTTCCTAGTTCTGCATACACATTTACCTTTAATGAAAATTAACGTCTGACTATATCAAACTGCTATAGCAAATTAGATATGGCATTAAATGATTTGTTATTATTTTCTTTTGAAACTGGTAAAAACTAAAAATGTTAATTATAAATTAAATTTGATAGCCTTTTAAATATTTCACTGCATTAAGGAGTATGTTAAATTTGTATTTCTTTATTCATAAATATACCTTTTTGGCTAACATATATTTGTAAGCACATGGAATATACTTTTGGCAGTACATTTAACTTCAATCGGAATGCCACTTTAAAAGATTTGTTTTGTAAGAAATGTCCTAGAAGCTGAAGAACAAACTCTGATGAACTTTTTAGACAATAGCACACTAAAATAGGACCAAAAAATTTAGTTTTAAGAATTTATTTACTTGATGATATATATAAGCCAAAAATGCATACCCTACCTGTGTGATGATAGTTTGGTGGTAAAGTTGACAGTATGGTTTAACTTTTGGGGTTGCGAGTTCGAATTCCATATCCTTTTTCCACCCTGTCTGCAACTTTCTTAGCTTCTTGTTCCAATTTGATCTAAATTCGTGTTTTATAATTTATTTCTATTATTATATACATTAAATATAATGTTTTATTTATGCTCTTATTTATATAAATTTCTCTCCCCCCCCAAAAAAAATTTGAAAATTATATAGCACAAATTTAAAGCGTACTCCCTGTACCCATATATATATTTTTTCGTTTCACTTTTATGTGCATGTGCATACATGAGCTCAGACTTTGGGATGTTTCCAGCTCTAAACTTTCACTGCCAATTAACATGACACAGTATTAATGCCCTAAACATTTTTAAAAAAATACTTACTATAATAATTCCTTTCAAATTCAGTCCTCTCCAGCAGAAGCGCAGGAATTAATTAAATATTTCCATTTTCTTTACCTAATATGTGTGTATAGATATATATAAAGAGAAAAAGCTTATTTTTATAACTTGTTATATAAAAAGAGATATGAATTAAAATTTTTAAAATTAAAAATAATATTTTATGGATTATGCATAAAATATAACTGCGCATAGTGCATTTTAAAACAAATGAGATTTCTAATAAATTATCCAGCTATGACCATGAAGAAATCGATGCTAAAATATTACCTGCTTTCTCCCCAAATTTAAGCATATTTTAAAAATATACAATCTCATATGGCAGTCAGCAGTATACAAGCATAGCAAATTTTGTGTAAATAATGTGAATGCGTGCATTGTCAAGATAACAACTCTGTGTTAGTTCTACCTTAAAATCGCATACTCATGTATACTTGCACATTGATCGAATAAAGCCACTTTGCCAGCCATACTGAGTCTGCACAAAGTTCTTACCAGAACAGACAAAATTTGCACAAATGAAATAAACATCCTGAAATCTTTTGTGTTCTTTGCCAGCCATACTGAGTCTGCACAAAGTTCTTACCAGAACAGACAAAATTTGCACAAATGAAATAAACATCCTGAAATCTATAAGACCGCATAAAACAAGCCTATTTGCTAGACTATTTGCTATCTGCTGAACTTAACCAAACAGAGACTTAAAAACAGCTCAACAGAATAAATCTGCTACCAAACTGTCTAGGTTGCAAACTGTCACAAGATCGGGAAGACACATTTACTTTCCAAAGAAACTTGCTTTTTACATTACAGTTTAAAATTTTTTTGAAATTTGCTTTGTCACATATTTATTGTTATTTCATTTTTTATATGTATGCATTGTAAACGTATCATATGTTGAATCACATTTTGATCTCTTCTAATTTTATATCCTAGTTTTGTTATTAGAGGAATGGAAGTCCACTTCACGGATTCTGTAAACTATTTCATAATTTGATATTGTTCCTTTGAGTTGTTGTGAGAGGAGCTGGGGGGCCTCTGTGTTGATAGTGATAAGGAGTGTGCCTTGCGTCTGTGTTGCTGCCAATAAATAAGCAATTCTAAGAAGTTTTAGGATAAGTACTGAGGAAGATCAGGGAATGGCTGTTGAGGAGTAGTATGCATATCTGAAGTGTTCAAATAAATTTTTATTGTGTATTATGTGTGATTAGAGTTCTTAATGAATGCAGTGATAATTTTTAATGTGATATGGACAACAAAGATCGGGTGGATATCACAGTGGTCTCTACAAACTCGATTTAGCATGTGGGATGCCTTAGAGTTCTTAATTGCAGTGTATCAGATACCTGCTTGCATTCTCCAGGATCTGAAAACTGCACTTTTAGAACAGTGGCATGAAGTTCCAAAAGACTTGATCAACCTTTAAAATGTGTTGCGAAGTAGTAAATTCTATGAACTCAAGATGTGAGGTTTGCATTTCTGTCAGAGGTGAGCATACACCATATTAAAGAAAGATCTGTTGCAAGACGAGATCACTTTCAGATTATCTTTTAATTTTCATAAATTTCAATATTTTGAGATTAATCAACTGTTAAATATGCTAACTTAATGCTTGTGTATAAATTATTTTTAATTACTTTTTAATAAGTAAAGTTTTATTTTCATCAATATGCTTTAATTTTGATGAACAATATATACTGTCACATAATCCTAATTACTATTTGAAATGTTAATTTATTAATTTTTGACATATACTCAAATTTTTTAAAGGCAGCTATGTAAGTGTTGCCACTATTACATTTAGCATTTCCTGTTTGGTATTATTTAATCATTTGTTTGATCTATGAATCTGGCTACTGAGTTTTGTCTTGAATGTTGTGCTCAAGAAATTACCATTCTAAGCAGCGTTTAATTTATGCTACTGAAATACAGAATTAAGATGTAAGGATCATTTGATAATTATGTTAAACCACACATGTAAATAAGTCTCATTAATTTCTGTGTTTGTGAAGAGAAAATAATACATATTTCTGAAAGATAAGTTTGTGTTTATCCAAGAAGTATGAAAAATATGTAGGGGAGTCAAATTTTCATTTGTTAAATTCTTAACATAACATAATCCTAGTTCTTACACTGGCTCTAAAATTGAGATTTTTCACAATTTGTTATCATTGGTGAAGATGCTTTAAGTCATATAATTTAAATAACTATTTCTTTGCAATTTTGCATGATATTGTTATGAGTTTTCTTTAAAAATATCTTGAACAAAAACAGGAGAAACTTATGAGAATTTTTTTCTATGGGGTTATGTGTAGAATTTTTTTTTTTTTGCTAAAGGATATGAAGGTGAAATTCCTGTGCTTGAAAATATCTATCTTATTTGATTCATTTCTTATACTGAAACCATCTAAACTAACCATTAAAGAGTTCTGTCAAGCAGTCTTTTTAAAAAATTTAATATTTAATGAAATTTGTATGTTTGTGTATTTGTTTAATTTTGTCACTCTCATAATTTGTAGGATGTTCATTAGTAGAAGCTATAGAATGCGCTACACTACATCCAGCCCAAGCTTTACATATAACACATTTAAAAGGAACTTTGGATTATGGGACAGATGCTGATTTTGTACTCCTTGATAAGAATCTTGAAGTTATATCCACTTACATAGCTGGAATGTGTGTTTGGAAGAAGCAAGTACCAGTTAATACATAACAAATTATGTAAACATATTTTCTATTGATTAATTACAATGACAGTTAAGTGATTTTGTTTAATACAAAATGAAGTTCACTAAACTTTTCACTGCCACATGCATTTTTATAACTTTGTGCCAAAGAAATAAATACATCATGTCATCATGAAAAATACTAAACATGCCATTGTTGATCTCTCAGTGTTTGTAAAATTTATATGTAAATATATCATTTTTATTATTAAAATTTGTTACTTGGAGATAAAAACATACAGAATTTTTTCTTGAGTAGGTTCCTAAAAATAGCATATGGCATATTAATATTGCCATGAAAAAGTTGTAAATTTGTTTCCAACCACTTGAATATTCTTCACATTTATAAATTATTAAAGATTAAATTCCATGTGCATAAAACTACATTCACACATACTCAGTTCTTTTCCAGCTAATGGAAACAAAACATTGCTTAGTGTCCTCCTTTTCCATACTCAACTGTTCCTCTGATTGGATTTGTCTGCTGTAACCAGCATTCTCTTTTCTTAGAATGGCTTTCTAAATACATGCTAGGCTTTCTGGATGTTTCCTGTTGCATTGTGGCTTAATTTCTATTCTTCTCAAATTTTAGGACTCTTTGTGATGTGTTTGCTTATTTTAAGTCTGCTTTTGAAAGTGGATGATTCCATACATAGTATTGTTACGAATTTTCTACGAGTATTTGGGTGAAATTATATGTGATTTTTTTTGTATAATGTAACATGACAATCTAAAGAGGCGATGATTTGCCAGAAAAGTAAGAATGTAGGGGGCAAGTCTATTTAACATTGAGTAAATGGCTAGCCTGGCAATATCTCACTAAGATATTGCCAGGCTAGTGATGGATTTGGCAACTAACTTTTGCTGTCAAATTCGGTGACATTTTGGTCCAGTCCCTATATAACTGTAATGAATACTCTAATTGATTCCTACATTAGCTGTAACTGTATCCAGTCCTCATATGCTGTCCAATAATGTCGAGAAGCAGAAAGTAGTAGATTTCCCAGTGGCTGGGGGAAAACTATACGACACCGGAGAGAGCATCAGTTTCCCAGTTGTTAGTTCAGAATGACAGCAAAGTATTGAGATACTTGTGAGAGCTTTGCCTTTTAGATGTGCTTTCCATTGTGTTGCATTTAATATGCTTAGTAGTTTGAAGTGTAATTACAGATTGTAATCTGTGATACTGTGAAAAGCTGTATGATAATTTTTGTAGAAAGTTCCAGAACTGCAAACTATTTCTTTTGGTAAAATAAATTTTATCGAGCTATCATTGGTACTCGGTGCATTCAGGCAAATATGCATCCATACGCATGCAACATCCTTTCGAACAGAAACATTTTAATCTCTCCCTATGTTTATTGTTATTTGATTGATTATTTATATTACTTTTTTTAATGTAGCTCAGGTGTAGAACAGTATTTGTGAGCATGAGGAGATAGAAGGAATTATTGTTGATTAGTTTGTGGTATAATATAAAAGTCAAGTTGTTTCCACACTTTGTGATAAATAACTCATACTGAATGCTGCAAGTTTCTTTTATACTTTCTATTAAGAAACAGTAAGGCTTTGAGCTCACCCTCAGACTATTTCTAGAGGATAAAAATGTTACCTGTAGTATGTACTGTAAAGGTCTGGAATTGTATGACTGATTATTTTGTGCTCAACAATGCATTGTGAAGATATACCTTGATTGGTAATGATAAATTCTGCGAATTGCCATTGTGTGCTAGAAACACTCAACTGATAACAAATTTTTATGACCTGTATCTTCTCAATGCGATGCTGGTTATGCCTTCGCAACCATAAGAATAATCATTTGATTATTAATTCTATAATTTCAGACTAATGCAGTATCCTGTAAATATTTCTCTTTTAGATTATGGGGGTTTTTCAGATAATTATCAATTTTTTTTATTTTACATGTAGTTTTGGTGAAAATGAAAGACAAGAACTCCTATGTAGCCCATACTGCTGTTTGGAAAATTTCTCATTTATTTTCAAAATGGTGAAATTATGCTTCATACATATTAATTATGAATTCTGGTATTACGTTAAATTATCAGATTTTTCATTAATATCATTTAAGAGTTTAACAATGGAGACGGGGATTTTACATCTTTATAAGTACTGTAACACCAAACTGTATTTTCTAGTTGGAAGTTACGTGCACACTGAATTCATCATCTCTTCACTGAGTGATAACCAAAATTTAGCAATTTTTTTTCACTTTTGTTGAAGATTAGTATTTTTTATTCATTGAGTCTTTCCAGCTGACTTTATACATTTAAATCTGAATGGAAAGTTATATTTACATGCTTATGCATTCCAGAAATGTACAGATTCTACATAGGTATTTCTCCACAGCTCATAAAAAAATCAAATATAGATAATGTTTTGGAACACTGCCTTTTTTAATACAAACAGTATACAGATTATTTCAATATTGCAAAAAGGTGACTAGAAATCTGCAACAGTGTCTGTACTCTAGCATGCAAAACTTGCGAATTTTTTCTGTTTGGAGGGACACTATTTCTGAACTGAAACTAAGCTTAAGGAAATGAATCACACTATAGAGATGTCAGCATTTTGACATCTCTATAGTGTGATTCAAGGGCCACATTGTTGACTGAAAAGACACAATCAAAATGGAGTTAAATGTTTAACAAGACAAGGCTATATGACCATTATACAAATGTATCCTTCCACAGGTGTGTGGATATAGACAAGAGGTGGAATTTAATAGGGAATATAATGTTTTTTAACAGCAGTGACTGCCTTCAATTGCTGCATATGCTTAATACTAGGTGAGCAATAAGTTGTTGAGACAACATTATCCAATCTTCTCCTAAGTGTTCCTTTTTAACCGAGGGACATTCTGAAGTACATGTGGGTAAGCCGGAAGACACTTTTTCAGAGCATCTCAGATATTACATAGCACTGAAATTGGAGCCCTCGCAGACACATTCATATGACAGATATCTTTTTTTCCTAGTAATATATCTACTGCATATTCATTATATGCTGTAGCTTTATTATCACAAAAAAGGAAGTCAGAACCAACAGCACCCCAAAGATGTACATGGGAAAGGATTTCGTTACAGTAGTTCATTGGGTACCTTCTGTTTATCTGCAACCCCAAATTGAGTAGAATTGCCATTTTTTGTGTACTTTCAGGTATATGCATAACACTAGCAAAAGCCAGGCATGTATGTACTATAACACATCCGAGTAAGCAAGGATTTACACACTTGTTATTTAACAATCAATCCACCAGCTGCAATAATATAAATTTTCGCCATATAGATTTTTGTTTTTCTCCTCATAAAATGATTCTTTTTTACTTCCTTATACAAAGTAAAGGAAGTATTGTAATCACGAAAAATTCCAGGTTTCACATTTCAACGAAAATACCCATTTTGACAACTATCAAGTGCAATTTAACGATGTTTTTGCATGATATCTGTATATAAGAAGATATAAAACTGATTTAAAAGGGATTCAAAAGAGATTTTTCCATGGCGTACGCATCTCGCATAACTAAAAAACGAGTAGCCTCAGAACGTTGAAATTTTGTATATAGGACTGCTATAAACATGTAGTTGTGCACCTCCCTTTTTTGCTGCAATCGGCCACACCAAATGTCTACATATATTTATATACTTACTCTGTAACTTGCCTCAGTGAGCTCAGTTTTTTTTTATTCTTATATATTGGTAAAGTGTGCATTTTGTGCTTTAAAAATGATTGAATTATGCTGTTATTATCTTTCAGTTAAGGCTTTTATACCTTTAATTAATCTGCATGCAATAGTTGTAGAATTGTTAAAAAAATTTGAAAGTTGTTTAAGTGCAGCTAAGCCAAATTTTTTTTACCATAACAGTCACATTTGATTACATTTTAAACTTAGCAGAATAGTGAATTACGTCTTTGTGCACCTTCAGTGTCTTTTTGTCGAGAGGGACCAAAATGAAACTTTTAGCTTTGTGCACCGAAAAATCTGCCATCTTGCCTGCTAGCTAAATTGCTTGTTTTTGCATAGAAGCTAATTTTAATTGTTTTAACTACATTTGGTGTTGTTTTTCTGTATTTTACAATTTTTAATGAAGATATTTTGAGTTTTTATGTATTTTTGTCTTGCCATGAAGTGAAAACTGAATGAGAAATATATCTCTAATGAAATTCAAGGAAATGAATTTATATGAATTGAAGGAAAAAATGTGTATAATTTAATACTCCATATAAGGAAGTCGTGGTGTACACATTGTTTGTGGACAATTACGTACTTTTATTAGCTGTAAACATAACTAGACAAATGTTTTTCGCCGAGTCACAGAGTTAGCGATGAGTGAGTGACTTTTCATGGAGGGGGCGAATGGCTAATCAAAATGCCATTTTTGTTATGGAATTCTGATAAAAATAGAGATCTCAGTATAACCACTGGGCATTATGCCACTCTAGACTGTAAAATCTGTCCCTCAATACTAGTGCCTTTCAATGACGTTAGACTGAACCATATTTTCATCTCTTTTCGGGCCTACCAGCAGCTGAGCGGTAAAGTCACTGAACACTGGTAGTTCTGTCTGAGGCTAAAATCCTGCAAATGGACTGGCTGGCATTTTCATGGTTCCCCCTTGTGTAACGTTTATGCAAGCCAGTTTCTTTTAGAAACTGCTCCACGAAGGCACCCCTTTCGTTAGGCAGATAGCCCTCGAGGCTTTGCTGTAATTACATAAACCAAACCATCTCTTTCCAGATTAGCAAACATAAATTGCTTTCAAAGCTGAGGTAACTCTCTATTCAGTGAAAAGCATGCCATCCCTGACATGACTGCTGTATAGCCAGTCTTGGGTGTCTGCGATGTTAGGGATTAAAGGGATGCAGTGTTCAGGCTGTTCAAAATGCCTATTTCTGACTAAATATCTCGTCACAGTGATCCATAATCTTGTATGGCAACATTGGAGCTTCCTTTCTTATTTAGGTCAGATAAAAAATGCTAACCCCACAACCACTAGACAGCCAAAAGTGTGAGCTGGCTAACATTAATATAACATCAATGTATTGTCATTGGCCACAGTGCCACTCCGTAGCCAGTAGATATTTGAAAGTGACATGCAGGAATCTGTTAGTTTCACTTATAGCACACCTACTCCTTTTTCTTGAGTATCAGAATCTATATAGACGTTCTAAAGGGAGAAATGATTTTCTTTGATCGTGTGTTTTTCTCCCAGCTCATGATCTAGAGGTCTGTATATTAGACATCCAAATGTCAAGACTTTATCGAGATGCACTAGTATAGTTTCTGTACAGAATTTTATAAATTTTAATTCTAGTTCAGTGATTCATATGCTGTTCCAAACAATTTTAGATTTTTTTAACCCTCTGAGCATTATGGGATTAGCCCTGAAATTTCAAACTTCCTCAAAATGTCATGAATAAGTGATATTTTCTTGATTTTAATTAAAAAAATGACTCATTTTGTACCTTGATTCCTTTTCTTCCAATATACATCCAAACTGAAATCAGATACATTAAAAGCTAGCAGAAATTTTCATGTATAATGAATGTGGAAGGCAACCTTCTGTACAGAATTTTCCGGCCGTAATGCTGAGAGGGTTAAAGAAAACAGTGAAGAAGGCTTCATTACTTGTTATTTTTTTTTAAATATTGTATTACATACATAGAATGTTTAAAGTGGTACAGGCATTCTTCAATTTTTAATTTAAAAAAAATTATCCTAGACATGCATCTCCAGTTATAGAAATTCTGGAAATCAAGCAAGAATTTTAAGGGAATGCTTTTAATAAAGCAGAAACATCAATTGTAAAATATTCATTGCATTTTATTATGGTAAACACAAAGGTTTTCAACCATTGCATACAGAATTTAGGAAAGTATTAGAATAGGAAAGTACAGTCAAAAGTCGTTAATTCGGACACCCATAATCCGGAATGATCTATAATCCGGACCTCAAAGCTAAAATCTTTCTGCGCATGCGCCGCGTTAATGCATGCTCATAGGCGTTTTACGCGTGTGCGCAAGACATTTACGACAGCGCATATGTGTCTGCGCAAGCGCAGAATACGTTTTTGCGTCCGTGTTTAATGTATAACGGACGGTATAAGCTAAAATTATCTAATTCAGTTAATGTTGATGATTGCGTTGTTCCTTAATCTTCGAATTGGATCTGGCTTATTATTTTTTGCAGACTGTAAGAGCAATTTTATAAAAGTAAGCTTGAACTTTCGATTATGTCAAATAGAATTTCCGATGCTGGAGCTCCCAAAGGATCTAGAAAATGAAAGTATGTTTCGATGTCCATCAAAAAAAAAAAAAAAACGAATTGCTACAAAAAATGGATAAAGGTATATCCTTTGTTCATCTAACCGTTCCGAAATCTGTTTATCAATTTCATGCTGCTCTGCGCACGGGGGGGGGGGGGGGGGGGGGGGACGTCGCGGCGCGCAATGAACTGGAAGTTGATCTGTCAGCACTATCGTTATCTTCAGGGTTGATGTTTTTATTTTATTCGGCTTATAATTCCTTACTAAATGTAGTATTTAATCTCGATGTACTCCGTCTTTGATATGATTTAAATCAAATTCCTCGTCATTATAAATATCACGAATAGAAATCAAATAGTTTTCTGGTTGTAATTTTCTAATTTCGGCTATGCGTAAGGTATGCTTTACGCATGCGCGCGTTGAAAGAAATGTTTAATAAAGTAAACAAATAAATATTAAGCTTCTTTTTTTTTTGTAAATTTTGATACCCTTTAGATCATAATTGCTCATTATTTTATAAATTACGGTTTCATATTTTTAATTTTATAATTTCTGCATGCCATTTTACCAGATTTAAACTGATGATCTATAATCCGGAAAAATCGATAATCCGGAATCGCCGAAGTCCCGACGATTCCGGACTAAAGACTTTTGACTGTATTAGGATTTATTGAGTAAGGTCACGTCTCATTAGATTTATACAGTTAAGTCATATTTTGGCCAGAAATATAGGGAACACAACTACAAAGCAAAAGTGATGGCAGAAGTTCAGATTTAGTGAGTTAGGTCATAATTTTGCAAAAATTATATTCAAAAGTTTTGGGTGCATTTGACTCTTGACTGTATGGATCTTTCTTATTTCACACATTTCTCTTAGAAAGTCCTCTACGAAGGTACCCCTCCTGTTTTGACAGTCGTATGATTACATATTGGGTTAAAAAGGACTAGTTAAATTTGTACCTGTCTTGAGAATGCACTGATTATGAATATCTCAAAATTTTACGTATGAAGTTGCAGAACTGTCTGCTTTATGAACATTTAACAAATTAAACTTTTTGCTCTTTGAGAACCATACAGATGATAGTTTTCTTAATTTATAAAATCTTTCTGCTCCCTTTAATAGAATTTCTCACAAAATTCTCTGCCTTATTTTAAGAAACTGTATCTGAAAGTGCACATCTAGTATTAATATTTGAGGGATACTGACCATCTATTTGGAATGGTCAGTCTATGACTGATATTTTATAAAAGACTAAATGATAGTTACTTTTATTCATACAAAAGTGCATTTTAAATTAGTCTCTTTTTTTTTCCTCTCTTTTGTCTTAGTTCATTATAACTTTTATCTACAGTAAGCTGACACTAAATCAGGAACGTTTTCAAAGTTTGAGAACATTTCTCATTTCTAAGTTTTCCATTTCTTTTAGGAGAGTAGCAACTGCAAATCTTAAGCGATGAAATTGTGTAGGATGGACCTGAAAAATAATCATATTATGGAAATTTAAGAAACAACCTGACAGTATAATGAAATTAAAAATATATAACTCATAGGAGAAAATGCAAAATTAGTATGGCTAAAAATTTTAAAATACAGTGAAGTAACAAAATGATCACTTAAATATAGTCCTTGAAAAGCTTTTATTTGCGAGCTTTAGTTTTGTAGCTCGCAAAACTAAAAAACTAAAACTTTTCCACTGATATCATTTCAATTATAACGAATCAGAAAATGTAATAAACAACCAAAAAATTAGAGGGCATAACTTAGTCTGCAAACTGTTTTAGATACTTCAAGAACTCGGAATGCTCTAAAACTCTCAACTGGAAAGGCTTTTGTCACTAGCAGGATCCTCGAGGACAATAATCATTTCTATGCCTTCAATGTTGTTATGTATTGTTAATACAACTCCTCATAGATTTATATTAAATGTATTTTAGTTCTATATGCAGTATGTAGTATGCAACCTTAACAAATGCAACTAACACCAATTACCACATTGAGTCGAACCATCAGTGTAGCGTACCACCCAGCGGTGACTGAGGACTGACATCTGCATTAATGAACTAAACTATCAGCAACTATTCCAATGGGTAAATGACAATGTGTCTCATCTGCATCTTTGACAGAACAGCTATAACAACTCTTGCTACTCAAAAATACTTGATGTAATGCAGCAGATAATAATGAAAATCCAAAGCAACCATCAAATCTATCTTTTCCAGCCAACTCTTGTACAGGCTACTGAAAATGCTTCACGATGGATCAATGCCTCAGTCATCCCTGAATAACCTGGAAAAGAAATCCATCTTCACTAAAGTGTTCCTTAATACAAAAGCATCTAATTCATACTTCCGGCTGTTTTGTGATTCTGTGACAATTGTGACTGTGTAAAACAGCATATATTCAGTGATTTGTGTCTGCTTCACCTTGTGCTTTATATTCAATTATGCATCTTCAAAAATTTTCTGCAAAATTTTTATATCTTTACTTCCCTGCATTTTATCTTGACTAAATTAACATGGTGAAACAGCTGATCGGTTAAAGGCCACTGACCCTTTTTCCTCGAGTGTGAAATGAAACACTCTCATGAATTTCCCTGCTTTTTTTCTTTCAGAGGCAATGCTCTGGAAAACGATGGAACTGCAGTGGCAAGAATTTGTGACTGATCAGATTCATACATTAGCCATTTGGGAATCAAATATTGTTTCATGGCTGACACAATGTGAAATCCAATTTGATTTGGCTAATGTTACCAGTGATAACATAAAATTTTAGCGTATTGTAGGAAATTTACACACATCAACTTTACTATATGTCTCAGATATTATCTTAACACCTCCTGAAAATGAAAACAATATAATTTAAAAAAACAGACTAATTGTGGAATTTCTTGAATCTGAAGTACAGCAAATCTGTAAACTTTTATCAGATTTACAATCAAGTGATGAAAATCAAGCTTCCTTTTGATATAGATGAAAGAATTACTGTCAAACAAAATACATGATGATTTCCTAGAAAATTCTGTGGTTAAAAAGAATTCCTTCCAAATATGCAAGCAATTTTATTGGCTTCTTCTGCAGATTTAACCAATTTTAGCCCAAACAGAAGATAGTTTTGGAGGTCACAAATGACACAACCAACTATTTGTGTGGTATCAAATACTGAGCAAAATACAAAGTTATCTATAACACTAAGTTTAATAAGCAAATACCAATATACCGTGATAAATGCAATCATTCAAAAAGTAGGCAATGTAATTTGCAGACAAATTATGCCAACACTAGTTAACAACACAGAACTGAATGTTTCAGAATGCTCTGAATATCACAAAATTCATATACTATTTCTGGAACTAATTAATCCCTCTTAACATAAGAAAACAATCAAACAAGTCACAGTTCATTATATTTAGACTAAAAGACAGCTAGTCACTCCAAAGCAAAATGGCTTCGGCCCGAAGTTTAAAATGAAGCAAAAAAGGAGTTTAAATATACGTTAGAACAAGCAATTTGTCAACCTTCTAAAAGTAACTTGTCATCACCTTTACATATAGTACATAAAAATCCTCCTGGCATTTGACCACTTTTGAGTTAACAGTTTTTGATTCACATCCTGGTCCACATATACAAGATTGCACTCAATCCCTTTACAGCAAAACAATGTTTTTTAAATTAGATGTTGCACAGCTTTATCATCATATACCCACCTAAAGTATATAGCTAAAACAATGACTAGATGTTGTGCTGCCTTATCATCATATACTCACCTAAAGTATATATCTAAAACAGTGACAATTACCTCTATCCATCCTTCTGAATTTTTTTATTTAAATTCCAGACTAAAAAATGCTCCTAAAACCTTTCAATGTTTCATTCACAAAGTGTTACGAAGACTAATTAACATATTTAGATAATATTCTAGAATTTTCAGAAAGCTAAGCACTCTATAAACAATACATTTGCAAAACTTTACACAGGCTAAACAAATATGGATTTAAACTCAAAATGTGTTTTCAGTGTTCCTAAAATAGAATTCTTAAGCAATTTAATGAACAAGAATGGGAGTAAACTTTACCTGAAAGAGTAGATGCAGTTTAACTCCAAAAAAGCAAAAACTATTAAAAGAAAGCTTTTATGGTTAATAAAGTTTTACCATAGATGTCTGCCAAGTGCAGCTCATAGCCAAGTACTACTCAGCAAATATTTACAAGATATAAAAGAGAATGACAAAGCACAAATGAAGCTTTTGAAAATGCTAAACAACAGACAGCAAATGTGGCATTACTAGCACATCCTTTGAAAAATGCATCTCTAATTCTTCACATCAATGCCTCCAGCTATGTTATTTACAATCCTCTAAACAAGCTACTAACCACAAACTCAAACCTCTAGCATTTTTTATAGCAAGCTCACAACCACTGACACAAAATACAATGCACATGTTATGGAATTTTTAGAAGTCTACGCATATATTCAGAAATTTAGATACATGCTAGAGGGCCACAAATTTACAGGGTTAACTGATCACAAACCACTAATATTTGCTTTCAAACAAAAACCTGAAAAATGCTCCTCAAGTCAAAATTGTCAACTAGACTTTATTTTGCAATTCCAAACTCATATCCAATATGTAAAAGGAACCAATAATATTATTCCCAACACATTATCTCGCATTCATGAAATTTAAATTATTGGTCTAATTGATTATGAAGAAATTGCTGAGGCACAACAATAGATGGTGAATAAAAAGAAATATTAAATACTAACAGTTCTTTACAAATAAAAAAAAAAGTTAAGCTAGAATTATGTTGTGATGTTTAATATACCGGAATATAGAGTATAGCAAGGCCTTATATCCCCAAGGCCATTCCCAAGATTTTGTTTTAATTGTGTATGTAATTTAGCTTATGCAGCCATTCGAATGACATCAAAATTAGTTCCTAACCAATATGTATGGCCAATATCATGAACCAGGCAAGACTGCATATTCTGCGTTAAAAAGCTAAAATACACAAACAGATATCAGTTCTTTCACAATCATTTAGTGAAACTTCTACACAATTTTAATATATTCATTTATACCTCATCAGCCCACTTCCACCTTCAAATTAATTCGCATATTATCTAACAGCTATTGATCAGTTCACTAGACAGACAGAAGCTATCCCCATCATTGTTATTCAAGCAACAATAGTTGAGAAACTTTCTACATGAAGTGAATTCACTTGCTTTGGTGTTCCAGGTACTATTAAGACTGATCAAGGGCAACAACTCAAATCTTGTTTATCTAAAGGTCTAACAAGAGCCCTAGGTACACAATGAATATGCACGAGGAATATCACTTTTGTTTAACATCTGCATTAATATGTCACGAAACTCAAAAATGGACAGAAATTTTACCAACTGTGCCACTTGAGGTGAGAATAGCTATCTCAAAGAAAGCATCAGTTGCATTCCTGCTGAACTTGTGCATGGAACTACAATTAAACTTACGTGAGATTTTTTCTACATGTCAAACGCTGCAACTGATCCTGTTGAATAAATCGAGCAGCTTAAACCAAAACCAACTTGATCACATGCTACAAAAGCAGTGTTCATTCACATGCGTTTGTGCGACATAATGCAGCACAACAGACACTAGAACCACCTTACGACAGCCATTTTAAAGTGCTCAAATGTGGTGCAAAAGTTTTCCAAATTATCCATTCGTGGAAAAATAGGTTCAGTTTCAACTGACAGTGTGAAATCAGTATTTATGTCTTAATACGGACATGGATACTTACTCTCCTGATACTGTACAACCTACATCTGCAAACTGCACCAAACCATATATTCATCAAACTCGTCATGAGCAGCATGTGCATTTCCCTGATTTTTATATATCATCATTATGATGCTGGAGGGAAAGTATATGGCAGACAACTCAAAGATAAGAAATTCATGTATGCAGTCCTCCACAGGTCACAGTATTCGAGCTGGCATGAGGTGCGAGATGAAAGGTTCTAACATTGCAGAAGCAATTATTCATTCAGTTACAGCTCTACTTAACATTACAAGAATTATAGTTTCAAGCAATTTAATCTGCAGTGTGTCAGTCACCAAAGATTCTCAATTTCAGGGAGGCTGACAGACCAATCATCTGGTTGCTCCTCCAAAATCATTCAACTGTAATGAATCAGAGGACATAAAATAAAATCGAAAATTAGGAGAGCATGACTAATCCAATCTGCAAACTGTTTCAGACAAGGCAAGAAGTCATAGTGCTCTAAGACTCTCCATTACAGAGACTCTTACCGGTAGCAAGATCCTCACATGAGGACAATAATCATTTCCATGGCTTCAGGGTTGCTATGTATTTTAGTTCTATATGAAGTAATACACAACCTAAGAAACACTACCACACATGGAGTTGTGCCATCAAAGCAGAGTACCATCATTATCTCCACATTCTTCAGTAAAGAATAGTTAAGAATCATATTATCATTTTACATGGATTCTGTACTAGAAAAGCACAAAAGACAATAAATACAATTGGTTTACTTTTAAATTCTTTAAAGTTTTTAATAGTAGAAACCTTTATTTATTAATTTGAATTTAATTATTTCCTTAATTTAAATGACTTTGCAACATGAACTTTACTATATATTAGACAGTATTTTCCATACATACCTCAAATGTTTCTTTTCTACCATCACTTAGTTCTATCTCCATAACAATAGCAGGTTCTAGGACTCTATTAAGTGTACTGAAATAACATTAGATTTTAGTGTTATTACATATATTTTCCAGTTTTGAAATTGGTAAGAATTAAATGGTTATTAATATGACCTTGTTGATATAGCAACATCCACTCTCCACCGAAATCGCTTTAAATTTGGTATATGAGGTGCACTGATGCAAGAGTTAACCAGAATATCACAACGCCTGAAATAAATTATGAATACATTGATTAAAATTGTTATGCTTTTAAACACAAAACTTTTGATGCTACCGAACATATAAAAAATTTCAAAAGCAATTATACTATGATACACTAGTGATTATAGTAACTGACACCTTTATAGCTTAAAAGACAGCTTTTTACTATATACGCATGATAGCTTTTGACCATCATTTTCAGATACTATATTTTTATTGATTTACTGTATAGGACAATTTATTTGTAAACATGCGTATGCAATATTACTTATGAAATAATTGTAGTAAAATTATATGCTGATTTAATGCATGTGTAAATTTCAAGGTAGATAGGAAGATGTTGGTTAATTATTCAGCAAGAATGAAGTATCTGTATGTGCAGTTTGGTGTTAAAAATTTGAATTGACAGCAGATTAACATTTCATATCAGAAAAGGTGCTGCTAAAATGCTATAACTATGAAAATGATACATAGTAGAAAATATCAAGAAACAGTTGAATGTATTTGAACATCAAGATAACCAAAGATACATGAAATGATATTATGAATTTTATACAGATATAAATGATCTGAGTGAAATTATATGGTCCAGGCCCTGGCTGGTATAGGCTAATGACACTGAGCAAAGCGATCCCAGGGGATCGACTGGTGGGAATTTCCAGAACCTACCATTTATGGGAGGAGACTCGGGTTTCTCCCAGACCACTGGCTGGACTTGTGTCCTGACAGCTTTGGTCTCTTGGGTATATAATCAGACTTCACAGGACTAGAACCATAGGTCCATCCTATGGCCTATGGTAGGCACAGGCTTGGCAGGGACCGTACTGGTACTGTAGTGTCTGTTGCCTTTGCTGTGGGGATGCTCTCATGTAGATATTAAGTGCTGTGTCGGGGAAGGGACGGCTCCCCACGCAGCCCTCAGTGTGATGGATTGTGGCGATGAACATGAGAAGTTCGGTGGGTTGGTGCCCCGCCGACACAGTCGTCCGAGTGGGGCTGTGGATCATGTTAAGGCAAGCTCTCTGAAGCAGCCAGGTAACGAATGGTCCCAAACTTGGTGTTAATGTATAATGTAACATGAAGATATAAAAAGATGATGCTCTGCTGGAAAATAAGAATACTAGGGCAAAATCTTATACTAAGTACATGGCTAACTCGCTAAATTGGCAAGATATTGCCAAGTTGGCGATGGTTTTGTCAACTAACTGTTGTAGACAAACTTCGTGGCATTTTGGTTTGGTCCCTGTATAACTCTAATGGGTACTGAATAACTGTAATTACTCTAATTATGCAACTGTAACCATATCCAGCTCTCATATGCCTTCCAGTAATTTCGAGAAGCACAAAGTACTAGAAATCTTATGGCAGCCACGAGAAAACTATATAAGACCAAGGAGAACATCAGTTTCACAGTTGTAGTTGTTAGTTCAGCATGAGTTTGGAATACTCAGTTATCTCCACTCTTTAGATAAGCTTTGCATTGCATTGTGGTTAACATTCTTAGTAGTTTGAACTACTGATTGTACTCCGCGCTGCTGTGAAGAGTTGTATAACTATTTTTGTGGAAAGTTCCCAGATTATGAAGTGTTTCTTTGGGTAAAATAAATTTCATCAAGCTATCATCAAATTTGTGTGCATTCAATCTATTATGAACCAGTACACATGCAACAATATGACAGACAATCCCAGAAGCAATTGGCCAAAAAGAAGACATGAATATTAATAGAATGAATGTGATATAATCCAACAAATGATTAGGTGTTAAGTAATTAATTACAAATTCATCAAGAAAAAGTTATGTAATTTTAATTGAAGAACTGAGCACAAGAAAGGTTTTTGTGAAGTTTGTGCTGCACAGGTACTCTCACAATGCATTCCTCATTACATGCTTTCTGACCAAAAGAATGATTACCCAATTAGATGATCATGCTTTTTCAGATAACTTTGTTTCTACTGGTTCATGATTATTTCCAAAATTACAAGTTGTGATAATTTGCTAATATAACCCATATAAAGATGTGAAGTTCAATACTGGTGTTTATATTCTCAGAAATACGGGCAACTCTCAGATGTGGTCATCTTAGAGAGCTGGTTATTACAGTAGAGTTTACTGTATTTTGAATAATAATGAGTATAATAATGCATAATATACTTTGATAATTTTATGGAAATTGGATCAAGCAGGGAAATCAACAGTGAAAGGAATGTCATAACAAATCATTCTTTTTTATCTTGATAGATATCACAAAAAATAAATAAAAACATTTTTATCTCAAAAGGAATAGAAGGCCAGCAAAACATATTACTTTCGATTTTGCATATAATTAAAACATCTCATCGGCTCAGTGGTGTGCCAACTGTGGACTGGAGCATTTCTGGACTAGTCCCCTAACATTTTAGGCATTAAAAATTTAATATCTATTTTTGCATAACATTCAGAAGTATTAAAAAGTAACATTGTACACTTAAGAGCCGATGAGCATCTGACTTGTGCAAAAGTCTGACAGCATTTAAAAGGTGGGCCTTTAGAAAAAAGGTAATACAATGTTACTTTTTAATACTTCTGAATGTTATGCAAAAATAGATATTAAATTTTTAATGCCTAAAATGTTAGGGGACTAGTCCAGAAATGCTCCAGTCCACAGTTGGCACACCACTGCTCAGAACTGCAATGATTGCTAAAAGAAATAGACTACTGATATCGGTCCCAACTTGCAAAAGCTGCTACAGGTACAGGAACTCAACTATCCAGCTATACAATGAATGACAGGCTGTACGCAAGGATCCACGGTTTGTGTTTCACTAACTCAGATTATGAAATGCATTCGAGTGCAATGGTACAGAGATCATGTTTGGAGTATAGACTAGAGCCAAGTTTCCGGTCTCATTTTTGTTTGGAAAGTGATTATAGACATGTTACAATCTGAAAAAAAAAAAAAAAAAAACAAAACACACACAATAAGCTTGAAAATCATTTGCAAAAAGCACAGTTACAATGATGCTTGAATCACAGTATGGATGGGCAAGATTTCGAATGGCCCTAGCCACACATTTTGACCATTGCAACTGTGAATGCTGAAATATATACAGAGATGAGATTCAAAATACTTGTGTCAAATTGTTCAGGGATGCAACAGATAATAACTTAATTCTAATGGTAAAAAAATGCCCATCCCACTATGCTGCAACATTATCCTACAGCAGATGAAATGGCTGCATATTGTCCAGATTTAAATCTGACAAAATATGTCAGATATGCTGACTTGCATTACTGCAGCCTGACTTGTATTACTGCAGCCTGGTGCTTCAAGGCACTATTCTTTGCAAATACACTTTCTTTCTACAGAAACTCTCGGACAATTTAATACTCAACATGGAAAATCACTATAAAGCTTGTATTTTGGTCAGTGCTGGCCGCACACCTTATTTTTTTTACATATCTTTTAAATGTACAACAATTGCAGTTGTTTGTATCACATAACCTCTGTTCTTATTAAAATTTATTTTGTGCAGAAATAGGCAATTCTACATTTTGAAGATAGTATCAGACATGGCAAATATCTGGTGCACATTTCATGTTAGCTACAACATCATTCAAACTGCATATAGTTTATTACCTTAATTTTTTCCAACAATGTACTATTTTTATTTGAATAGAGAAGGAACTGTGGATGTTTTATTGTACAGTGGATACACTTTGAAATGCACTTTGAAACAGTTTCAGAAGTTAAATGGTTATTTCTAGGTCATTCATCAAATGCTTCTAGTGAAAAAAAATTATTAAAACAAAATTATACCTTGGCCCATAAACTACACTTGCTAGATCATCAATATAATCTTCAGGAATTCTATGAATAAAAAATTTCTCATGAGTATTTCATCTTAAAAATTATGAAAATATAACAGGCAGAATGTGAGGTAACTAACAAAAATAAACAATTTACTTCAAACAAACTGAAAAATAGGGTAATACAATACAGTACAAAGTCCGAAATCCGGACGTCCATTATCTGGAATGATCTAAAATCCAGACCTCAAAACGATCAACGTTTTTCTTGTAGGCTGTACGCATGCACATTTGATTCCCCCCCTGCAGCATAATAAAACATCTGGAGAGTCCTGATTCTTAATTTCACTTCAGCACTAAATAAAATACATTGTTATTGAAGAAACAATCATTTTAGCATAAATTTGTACAGCCAGTAATTTGTCTCCATTGCTGCGTATCTGCTTGGCACACATCTTAAACCGAAACATTCCACATAGATACGTCGTTGATCTGATGCCACCCTGGCGAATCATTATTTATTATACTTTCCTTTCATCACTGCATGTTTATCAAAACATGACAACTTGAGTAATGACTCATGTAGTGATACCTAAACAACTTTTTATGTTAGTAATTGAATAATAAAGGAGTATGGTAACCTTTTATATTGACATTACGCTTGGCTATGATTACAGATTTATGTTAAATGCGAAAAATTTACCAAAAATTTCTTTCCATATGCTAGAAATAGATTTTGTTGATGATACTCATAAACCCAAAGATTACATTTATAGCTATTTGAATTAAGAATAACCGATTTGTTATTTATATAAACCCAGAATAAGCGCCAGAGCTTGTATGGCTGCATTGAGTCACAGAATTAAGGACCCACAGAGACTGCATCAGGCAGGAAGATATCTAGCACCAGCTCTCAATAAGGCTTAAGTACGTGTGGGAATTTATCTATTCAGAACTCTGATAAGCCTTAAGCATGTGCAAGAAATAGACATAAGTATAATAAATAACTAAACTAACACAATTCAGGCTTAATTGTCTCAGCACGGGATAGAAGCAAGATAAAATTTAAAGGAACAACTTGTCGTTAGTCGCCATGCTCATGATGCATTGCAAAATATGTACAGTGAAGGTAGCTAAATTTGATGATGATAGCTGCTAATTTTAAAGGTTTTCGGATATCACAACACAAAGTGAAATTTTAAAATTAACGGATTTTTTAAAGAAATGTGGAGAGAAGCAGTAACTAATGAAGATGATATAAAACAAGTTTTTCATTGTGATGACAATGCTTCTCAGTCATCAATCAATTAATGAATGGCGAAATCTGTAGTATCGTTCTAGATGCAGAAAATACCGCTACCGATAGTGAAAAAAGTGATAGAGAAATTACTGAAAATGAGAAAATTTTTATTGACAAGTTAGTCGGAATTCTTGAAACAGTTACAGGACTTCAACCATGTAACTAAACATGAGATTAAGTCTATCTACAGAATTAAAGAGAAAGTATTAGCACGAAAAAAAAAAAAAAAAAAAAGAAAAAAAAAACCGAAGCTACTTAAACAACTTTCATTGAAAGAAATGTTTAATAAGGTAAACAAATACATATTTATCTTTTTGTGTGTGTGTGTGTAAATTTGGATACCCTTTAAATCATAAATACTTCATTATTTCATAAATCATGATTTCATGTTTTTAATTTTATAATTTCTACATGCCATCTTACTAGATTTTAATTGATGATCTAAATCCGGAATCGCCGAAGTCCTGACAAGTCTGGATTTTGGACTTTGTACTGTACCAACTACCATAGATCTAAAGTAATAAATTATTCAAATTACATCAGACATTCAGACATCTAACATTATTTTACATACCCATACTTATATGTGATAATAATTTCAACTTAAGAATTAATATGAATTTTTTAAAAAATACTGAAGCATTTAATTGCACAGTTTCTTTTTCATGAGTTATAATGCAGCAGTGGGACAGAGTGCTAATTTTTACAGAGAAATTACTGTTTTATATAAATTATCTTCATATCCAATTTATTACTAGCAGGCAAAGATATGTCAAATTTTACATCAGAATTATAACTAAGGATAATAAATGGATACTGATCACCAAATGAAATACATTAAAAGGTTTTCCTAATCAAATAGAAAAACCACATTTAACTCAAGAATGACTCTTCTTTCTTTTTTCAGGAGGTAAGTTGCTACACTATAATGTTTGTGTATTTGCTTTGACTGCACTATAAAGTGCTAAAAATGACCAGCATTAGGGACCACAGAAAAGTTTACCTTACAGAAATATGAAATAGGGACTGGGTAGTTTTACTACATATACACTCTATGTTTTCTTCATTTGTCATTTGCACAGCTATCTATAATGTATCATACAGCAAAAATTAGAGTTAATTAAATAGACATTATGTTTTAACAGGTTAAATTTGCAAGGTTTTATAACTTTGGGTCTAAAAAATTTGCATTTATGCATAATTAATATTTTCAGGGTCCAGCTGCAAATTTAACAGCAAGTGCTATTTTGCTTAATATGGAGTCATAATTGCTAAAAGAAATGACTAAGCAATTGTGCTCTAAATCTCAAAGGGGTATCTTACATCTTTGAGAATAGGGGACAATGAAAAGAATCTAAACCAATAAACTTGTTCTAGAATTATCTCCATGAATTCTTCACATGAAAGTATGTTAATTGAAGCATGATGACATATCTTATAATTGGTCTTTTTTGCTTTATTGGGTTATATAGAAAGTGAATATAGACTTCATATTCACAGAAGCCTCTCACCCATAGTGCTGAAACATTTTTATAAAATTCTCTACCTTACTTTGATAAACTCTGTAATTGGAATAATAGCTAAGAACAATATTAAGGAATCCTGTAGCCATGTTTTCTTAACACTTTGGATATTTTAGAATAATTTGTATTTTCCAGTAACTGAGATAGGCCTTGGAATGCATTACCCTTTTACTTGTGTATTACTGGGCACTACTCTATCAACTATTGCACTGTTATTAAGTAAAAAATAAAAGCAGATAACTTTCAGGTTATATCTTGCACAATGCATATGACATGCTAAGTTTTCTGTATTTAGATTTAATACAGCAGAAGATAGTACTAAAAACATTAAGCCCTGGTTCTAGTAGTAATAAAAGAAATTCCAGTGCTTTTCTGATAAAAGGACAGCAGTCGTTCCTAACCATTAATGTCAACACGAAATAATGAAAGTAAATTTAATGATACATTCAAGATGTATACCTGTTCAAAAATATTACCAAGATTATTTAAATAGTTTTTCACAGTGGATAATTTCTTTCCTGAAAGAATTTGTCTTCTTGCAATTGCTAAATCCTAAAATTAATCTGTTTCTTTGTCAAAATTTCATGTGAAAACACCTTTGGATAAAAATATATTCAATTCACAATGTGCTGCTCTATTTATGATATAAGATACACTTTACTATACTTTTCGCTCACTTGTGCATATTTTCCCTGCTGTTCCAATAAAGGAAGCATCTTCAGTGAAGGATATGTTCTGAAACTTTGGGCAAGATGATTACTTAATGACAGTTATAAATGTAATAATCAATAGAATATGGTAGCTTCCTTTCATACCTAATGATAAACATGTCACCAAATCATCAACATTTCACTATTAACATAAGAAAGGCTGCACAGATCTTAGGTTAGCAGATATTTGGTCTTTTACTGTATTAAAATTTTTAGTCCTATATAACATAACTATCATATATTAATATTATAAAGTACTATGATGTGTATAAATTAAATAAAACTAGAAAGATTCATACAATTACAAATATGTATTATTATTGCAGCAATGATATGTATTAAACGGTTGAAATACAAAGGAAGGAGGTATAAGAACTCATCTGAGGATCGGTCCCCACATGCTTTAAATGGAAACTATAATTTCTATACTGGAAACTGGCACTGATAAAAGTTAAGCATGAAGTGAAACACAAATGCTTGATGTTCAAAAGTTTAAACTTTAAAATGAGGATTTTTTTTTTTTTTTTTTTTTTTTTACATAAAGGTAAAAACAAATAATTATAACATAGTTAATTTCAAAATTTTTTAGGCTATATATATACATATATATATATATTACATACATATTTCATTATTTAAGAATACCACATTTCTTCGCATATTTTTCTTCTGTTTTCACTAATTTTATCATCTGAAAACCGAGAGGAGAAATTTATGCAAATAATTTAATTTTTGAAGAATACAGCTATGGTAAGAACACAACAAATGAAAGTAGTCATGGGTAAACTACTAGTACAGTCCAAAGTCTTTAAGCCCACCAGTGGCCGAGCGGTAAAGACACTGAACACTAGTAGTTCAATCCGAGGTTCGAATCCCGCGAACGGGCTGGCTACATGGGCGTTTTCGTGGTTTTCCCCATGTGTAACGTGTATACGACCCAGTTCCCTTTAGAAAGTCCTCCACGAAGGCATCCCTCCCTTTAGGCAGATAGCCCTCGTATGCTTTGCCATAACTGAGTAATCCAATTCAAAAGTCTTTAATCCGGACTCGACGGGACTTCGGCGATTCCAAATTATAGATCATCAATTTAAATCTGGTAAGATGGCATGCAGAAATTATAAAATTAAAAATATGAAACCGTAATTTATGAAATAAAGAGCAATTATGATTTAAAGGGTATCAAAATTTACCAAAAAAAAAAAAAAAAGCTTAATATTTATTTGTTTATTTTATTAAATATTTCTTTCAATGCGCGCATGCATAAAGCATACATTACGCATATTCGAAATTAGAAAATTGCAACCAGAAAACTATTTGATGTGTATTTGTGATATTTATAATGACGAGGAATTTGATTTAAATCATATCAAAGGCGGAGTAGATCGAGATGAAATACTACATTTAGTAAGGAATTATAAGCCGAATAAAATAAAAACATCTGCCCTGAAGATAACGATAGTGCTGACAGATCTTCCAGTTCATTGCGCGCTGCGACGTCCCCCCCCCCCGCGCGGAAAATTGATAAATA